GTGGTAGTTATTAATAAAAATATAAACAAAAACATTTTAGAATTTAATTTAGGTTAAAAATTTTTTAAAGCAAAATTAAAAACCGAATATCTTTTAAACTAATTAAGATAATTAAAAAATTTAAACTAGGATTTATCTAGAATTTAATTCTGAGTAGGATAAAATAAATTTTAATAAAATCGGATAAGTAGTGTGGTATTTATTAGTAAAAATATAAACAAAAACATTTTAGAATTTAATTTAGTCATTTTTTTTGAAGCAAAATTAAAAAGCGAATATCTTTTAAACTAATTAAGATAATTAAATGATTTAAAGTAGAGTTGATCGAGAATTTAATTCTGAGTAGAATAAAATCAATTTGAATAAAATCTGGTGTAAAATATGGCTTTAATTAAACAAAATATAAACAAAAGCATAAAATGTGAAAAATTAAATTTCCAGGTGTGATTTTAAATATAAAACCATTAAAATTTCAACAAAAAATCAAAAATATCATTGACTATCCCGTTTTGGCAATAAATATGTGTTCCCAATTTGCACAACAGCCATGTTGAATTTTTAAAACCTCAATTTTCACTCATTCCCAACCTCGCGGAAATAACCACTGAATAATTCAGCGCAACTAGTTTCTCGCTGATTTGTTGGGATTTATTAGTAAAAATATAAACAAAAACATTTTAGAATTTAATTTAGTCATTTTTTTTGAAGCAAAATTAAAAAGCGAATATCTTTTAAACTAATAAAGATAATTAATTTATTTAAAGTAGAGTTGATTGAGAATTTAATTCTGAATAAAATCAATTTGAATAAAATCTGGTGAAAAATGTGGCTTTAAATAAACAAAATATAAACAAAAGCATAAAATGTGAAAAATTAAATTTCTAGGTGTGATTTTAATTATAAAACCATATAAATTTCACTAAAAAATCAAAAATATCATTGACGATCCCGTTTTGGCAATAAATATGTTCTCCCAATTTGCACAACAGCCATGTTGAATTTTTAAAACCTCAATTTTCACTCATTCCCAACCTCGCGGAAATAACCACTGAATAATTCAGCGCAACTAGTTTCTCGCTGATTTGTTGGGTCGTGTGAACGTATTTTTTTTTTAGTTATTTTGTTGTGTCCGGCTGCAAAATAACTAAAAAAGTCGTGCGAGAAAAAACGCGGCCGACTGCTGTGAAATGTACCGTTAATAACATCTTGTTAGTGCCCTCTCGTGGCGTGCTTGCGAATTAAAACAGAATTACTTATCTCGTTTATTAATTATGCAGGTTTTTAGCTTTATTAATTATGCGTCCGCCGCCACCGCCGCCGCCAACAACACACTACACAACAGAAAAAAAAATTACGCACATACAAAGTGTTTAAATGAATTTTTAAATAAAAATTTGCTATAAACACGTTTATACAGAGTGTTTGTGAAAGTATGCGTAGTGTAAACATATTGTATATTAATCTACTTGAAGTGGTTAGCGTGGCGGAGGTGAGAGAGCGCGCGTAATTAAATTTCGCGGCCGAAGAAGCGTAATTTAAACAAACAAGTTGCGGCGTGCGCTTGAAAGTCGAGCACAACAAATGCGCAGCCAGCGACTAACTAGCCGCCTCCCTCGGCGAACAAGTACCTACAAGCGGTTTACGTTCACACATGCGGTGGCAAAACGCGATTAAAGCCGCATTAACACAACACAATTCGCGGCTATCGTCCAACAGAGGGCATCACTTCAAAACTTTCACTAATAAACAAGCGACAATTCCAAATACATCCACTAAACATTACCAAACACAAAAAATGGTTGTTTGTAAAGTAGGTTTACGATCGAGATGTTTACGTGATAACGTCTTATTGGTGATATAAGTTTTGTTTGTTGCAATTGTTGTAACACTTCACTTGCACTTCACATTTTGTTTTACTGTTAAACATTCAACGAAAACTTAACCGCACGAGAAAATCTCCATTCGTTTGTATGCCGCTAGAGTGAGAGAGACGGAAGATCGGTCCACTCACTCGAACGCTATGACTGGCACGGAATGACTGGCAGCGCTCGAGATGAGACGGGAGATCGGTCCGTCTCTCTCTCGTTATAACGAGAGGGGGGTATACCTGCGATCGACCTCGCTCGTGACACAGTTTCTGAACCGGTCACCCGTAAAACGATTTTAAAGACGTTATCACGTCAAAAACATTTTAGGTCCTGACATTAGTCATTACGCATCGAGCGCTGACGCGAAGTCAAAACACATCAATTTATGAAAAACTCATTTTTGTGTTAGGCAACTTGTCAAACTTGATGCGGATTTGATTTGAAACATCAAAAATGGTAATTTTACGCAAAAAATACTTGATTAAAAGCGAGCAGGAGTGAAATGTACGTCGTGTCAAATTTGTAAATCAAAAATCAAATATTTTTCGATGTAATTTTAATTTTTACGTGTGTTATACTTGATGCATTGTCTGTTTCGTCCCGTTGAGCAAATATTGATTTTCTTAGAGTGTCAGTTCATAGTCTCGACCCAACCGTTTCGTCCCTGAGTCCTTAGTCCTTACAAACCGATCTCCTAGATGTCTATCGAGCGGACAGTTTTCAATTGTGACCGTTGTGACCGTATCCCAAAACTCAAACCCACCCACCACCCCCACTCCCAACTCTAACTCGCAACCCACGAAAAGCTATTGTTAATGTTAATGAAAATTGTACGCTTTTGCTTGCACATACAAAAGCAACAGATAAAATAAATAATAGAAAATTGCAGATTTTACTAGCGCCATCTGTTGAGCGGTAGTTGATAAATTTGGTTATGTAAAGTGGAATAAAATACGATTTTGAAAATGTTTGTTTTTTAAACGTATACCGAACAATGTGCGCTTTGTGTGCTTTGTATTAAAAGGATGGAAGTTTAATAACGCACCCTCATCCCCCAAAACCCAACCACTCCACATATTCAATTAAAAATACGCTCACTCGTTCATAAACGGCGTAATTGTTACAACTTCAACTGCCGGCGGGCAAATACACGCGACACAAAAGTTTGCGCATCGCTTTTGTTTGCACCGCGAAAATATATATAAAAATAAAAACTAACTCGGCACTTAATAGAAATCAATAAATGGTTACAAAGTGTTGGAATTAATTTTTTTTCTTTTTTTGAAATTTTATGATTTCTTGAGTTTTATTCGTGTGGCTGGGATTAATTTCAATTTCACAAAATCAACATCGAGAAGGCCGCACAATAAAACAATCAAATGTTAAATAAAAGAAACGCGTGAGCGGCGACCACAAAATGGCCGCCCGGCCGAAAAATGTAATTCCGTCCGGGCAAATATTGTCCGTTCGTGATTTTTAATCCGCTTTGAGGGGTGTTCCGAGCTCTTGCCTTTGTTCTCAAGCGTCACAAATACCGGCTTAATCAACACGAACATTTTTTAGGTTAGTTTTTCTCGGTGTGTGTGAAAAGTCCGCTTTAAAACCGAAAATCAACGCAAATATGCGCGTTTTTCATCATGCGCGATATCTTAACATTTATGAAGCGATAGAGAAAAAAAAAACGTGACAGGAAATAACGTTTCGAAACTCGTCCGCCATTTTAAATTAATTTCAATCATCTTTTCAATTACGTGTGCGCCTCGCGACCGAGACACGCAACTTTATAGTCCATTATGCATACATCATTAAAATGTAATTTGTCATTTTCTCATTTGCCCCCGTTTGCCGCCACGTTCGCGACGTTTTTTTATTTTCCACCCCTTCACACCCCCTGTGTGATTTTTTGCTGCCACTTTATCCGTCATACTTCAAACGTATTATAAATTGAATGCGTGTCACAGAAACAAAACATTTATATACAGTATGTCAGGAATGTAAAAATATTATTATCCTACTAATATTATAAGTAGAAAGTCTGATGTTTGTTACCTTTCACGCAAAACTACTTAACCGATCATCATGAAAATTTGTACACATATTCTTGAAGTGGTCCAGGCTGGTTATAAAATTACTTTTGTTTAATAAAATCATGCGCCGTAAAATAAAAGAAAATATTAAGTAATAATACCTCTGCATCAGCTATTTGACTCGCACAACGCCATCTAGCATTCCAGCAAACGAATGCCAAACCTAAGTACTATAGTACCATCACTGTATTATCCTGTATATTGCGGCAGCTACGTCAACATCAAATCAATTGGCCTTCACACTATGGAACTGTACACTATACTTCCACCAGACTATACTTTCAACCCGTTTTGGCTTGCCAACCACCACTTCATTTGTTACTTCTTCTGTGACTACCGGGCGCTACAGGAAGCAACTACCATTATTTTGGTGTTAAGCTGCTAGTTTACAATATTTACAACACACCCAGTATAATATTTCACAGTTCCTAACCCCATCTAACGACCAACAATTAAAAAAAAATAGTTGTTTTTTTGTTTCATAAACTGACAGATTTTTGATTTGATTATTAAGTTGCCTATATGTGTAATACCCTAAAACTTGGTTATGTTTTATCCTTTGGTATAATGTTTCCGCGTTGTATATAAGCTACACTGAATTTATTTTATTTATTTTATGTAATATTTTGATTATCATATAAATGTCCAGCGAGGCATTACAAAAAGGTTAAAAAAAGGATAGCATAGGGACACCAACGGATTACGTCAGCGTGTGTATATATACGGCGAACTGTCCGCGGGATGCTGGCACATCTCATGAAATTACAACAATGGACGAAAATCCTTGAAAGTCCTTAAAGCGCCCACAAGTCATTAAGCGCACGAAATACCGGTAAATTGATAAATTAAGTATGCGCGTTGCCGTACAGCGCCATTACCGATAGCTTACAATAAAGAGGACATATGCGGATAGCCAGCACCGCAGGGGCATAATAATAACTTCCTTAAACGTAGAAAGCACAGCTTTACGCCGCTGTAGTCGCGACTATTTATTCACCACCAGAGGGCGTCACTATATTAACACATAAATTTAATTCTGTTGCGGTTACAACCCTCCACCATCGACACGGACATGGTGAGCGAATTCGACCCTTCCTCGAGTGACTCCGGCGTTGTCTCCCGGTGTACCGTAGTAAAACCATTGAAACTAAAACTGTGTAAACCCATTTTTGGTAAACGCACCGAGAAAAAATCGCGACGCACCGACGAACACCGGAAAAAAGACAAACGCGTTGTTGAACCCCGGATCGAAACCGGTGAGCAGGTGCAGGTTGTGCCCCGCGTGCAAAAACCGCGCGATCCCGAACGTGAAAAACGCCGCATTGCCCGGAAGAAGGAAAAACGCGCGACGCTCATCCTCGGCCTGATCATGGGCTCGTTCATCGCCTGCTGGCTGCCATTTTTTTTCATGTACATCCTCCGGCTGGCGTATGATATACCCGGCTTTGCGTTCTCCACCGCCTTCTGGCTGGGCTACATGAATTCGGCGCTCAATCCGGTCATCTACACCATCTTCAACAAGGACTTCCGGCGCGCCTTCCGCCGCATCCTGTTCAAGTGATGTTTAGCCTACGTGTGCTGCTATGAGTGCGTCAGCAGGCGGATACGGACGGCGCAGTATCGCAGTGCACCGAGCGCATTGTACAGACACTAACAGTGCTGCCAACCAAAACCACATTAATCTTAAACACACACTGTATAATAATCTGTACACATTCTAGTTTCTATCAAAAACAAATTTAAGAAAAAAAATCTTCTTCGGATTTCTGCGAACGCACTGTATGTATTTGACGCAAACAACTTGTACATTTTAATGTTAGCCGACGTATTGTATACAACACACACAACACACACAGAATACATAAGTTATCGAGCGACAATCTAAGCATATTTCTGTTTTGACGCAGTGGCGCCCTCTGGTGTTGCACAGCAATTGAACGCTACTCAATATGAATAAATATTTAAAAATAAATAAACACCAAGATGGCAACCGATAAGCAAGATGATTTTTAAGCACAAACAAATTTATTAAACAAAAGAAAAACGAATTTTTAACATTTTAGAGGTTAAGCAATGTCATTTTAAAAACATTCTAGACATAGTATACGTAAATGTTGCCAATTTTATAACCATAATAATAACCACAAAGAAACAAAAATCTTTTAAGTTAGTCATTTTGATGTCACTTAAATTTGACACATTCTCTGTCAATATCATCACCTAACCTTAACTAACGTAATTCTAACCTAACTTAACGTGTTTAGGTTAAGCAACACACACATACCAACACATACAACACGTGTTAACATACCAAAACAAAAAAAAGAGCTGGCAAGGTGCAAAAAATGAGTAATTAAGTAATTAATAATATAATAATTAATTAACTAATTGCGTAGTAGTTGAGATAGTAAACAAAAGTATTATATTAACAAATGGAAAAAAAACCACACTGTATATTATAATCCTAGCTAATTATGATTGTGGACAAAAAGTATCTCTAAACGACACAAATCAAAATTGTTACCTCATGACGTAAATAAAAACCTAACCTACTCGTATCATAGCGACGAAACAATAAATTGAAATAAAAATGGCGTCCAAAATGGTCAAAAAAAGGAATGTCCGATATTATTCGTAGTGAAATTACTAGCCTAATGAAATTATAATCAAACCGCACATTTTTCTGTTTTTATTTTTTATTTTTTGGTTTTTCGTAAACACCCTGTATAAAAATATCTTATACGATAATAATTAATTCTCTATACGCTAAATTTGACTCGCTCCGTTGAGTGAGAACATTTCCAAACATGAAATTTGTAAAAATAATAATAATAATAATAAATTAGAATTATAAATAAATAAATATAAATAATAATAATAATTATATGGAGCAATGACTACCACTGTGATAACATAACGCTTTCATTCTGGATTTTACTGTATTGTATTGTATTGTATTTGTATTTACTGTCAAACAACAAAAAAAAACAACAAGTAACAACAAAATCACTCAAAATATTTATGAACACACTGTATAATCAATCGTAACTGTGTACATAGAAGGCATACGGCGTGTGTAATGTACAATTTTCCAGGTAAAAAATATTCTATAATCGATAATTAAGCCGAATCATTACATAATACACACAGAGTCTCACTTGGAACACACTGTATAGTATTATATTATAAATATTACGACGATTATTACCTTCGTAAATTCGATCCTTCTAGCGATGAATTAACATTTAAGAGAATCGCGATGTTGTAGACAAAAGAAAAACTTGTATATACAGAGTGTATAAATTATGACTTAAGTATTGAAAAACGCAACCAACTAAACACTAACTTCCTCGATGTCTAAAGAGTAAAATGATTAAACGCAAATTATATTATATTAGCTCGTAATGATGAATATAAATGAAGTAAGCGTAAATTTTGGTTATGTTTGGTTATGTTGTATGAATATTTTATTGAAACACATTGTATATATATAGAGAGTAGAAATTTATCTCCGTGTTATGTTTTTAACTATGACTTGTTATATTGACAGTTGTGAAAAGGGTCACGTGACGGTAGGACACCAATTTAACTCGTTTGAATCGCGCGCGCACGCGCATTGCATGCGAGGCGTGGTCTTGAAATGACTTCAAGGGGCGGAGCAGCGGTCTTCCACACTTGCATATAACATACGTGAACACAATATGGCCGACTTGACGACAAGAGAGGGCATAACACAAATCTTTGCGCAACGAAAACTATGGTGCTATGCATGTTTCAGCCATGAAAACATGATACCAAGAAGACATCTTGAGGATATTATTATGATACAAACAAAATGGCGGACGTGAAAGTTTTTTATGATGTTTCCAAGACGAATTAAGACGGAAAAGTTGAAGTAAATGACACGAAATTACCCGAACGAGTTTTTCGTCTTTTTTCACTAAATAGGAAATCAATTGATACACAGTTTATCCTTTTATGTCCTTTCAATACGTTTTTCCCGTTTCTGCTGATAAATCGTTTCGCAATGATTAATTATCCTGACACAAACATACAAAAGAATAATGTCCTTTTACGGAACTGGGGCCAAAAACGTTTACACAACTCCAACGCCGCCATTTTCGTTTACGCATGGCGCTGGCGGTCGTCAATGAGCCCACGACCGTCAGCGCCATCACACAATAGAAACTTGAAGGTTAAATCACGGTCAAAAACAAAAAAAAAAGCAAGAAAACGTCTAAATAAATGATAAGATTAACAAAAACAAACAAAACTATATAGAGAATAATTGTTATCACAATATTACGATATATAAATATATAAATAAATATATTCGGACGCCGATGCTACGCCGCCATATTGATGACGTCATCGTGTGTCAAAATGGCGCAGCAACCAATTAAAACAAACACTACTACTGTCCTACTATTTGTGTGTGAACGTACTTTGTGAATATTAATAAAATAATAAATTATATTGAAATTTACTTGCGTTTTGAATTTAAATTATACAGGGGGATGCAATAAATTACCAAAAAACTATCAAAAAATTCAAAAAAACAAAAATTTCGTAGGGAATTTTATGAGAACTTCCATTTTCAGCATCTGGGTCATGATAATCTCCATCCTCATGAAGCTGGAGATCCCCGGTCTCAGCAATAAGGTCCTTAACCTCCCCGCAGAGGTGGGGGTATTTTTTGCTTCTCTGACAATTAAATGGACTTGTCTTGTAAATGGGAGAATCCAACCAGTTGCCATTCGGATAATAATTGCAATACAAATAAAACCATTCCCTACCATCTCTTCGGAAGGTAAGCTTCGCACAACCCATGAATTGGGTCTCATGCCAGATCAATGCAGTGAAATGCCCTGTTTTGGTCACTGGATAAAAACTTTTATGTATATCAGGATGCCCTTTGAGCAGTTTGTATTCATTGAACCAATTCATGATCCCACGCTCCAACCAGGAATTATCAATGACCCCAAGTTGACCTGTGGTCCACCTGTTGTGCAGGTTCTGCCCAAATTTGCTCCCATCAACTTTATAGTGGACATCATGCCAGAAATTACACTGGCGGATCCAACATGCGGTCATGTACTCACATTCATCGTCATAGTTCAGGGCGTAGATGTTGGTAGCAGGTGGGAAGTTCCATTCGAGGTAATCCCCACGAGCTATCTCCTCACGGAGTTTATTGTGGAGGTTCAGGAGGAATTGCTTCTCGTGCATACTGAGTTCTACATACCCCGAAATAAGGTCTGAGCAATTTGGTCCAATCTTACATTCTGTAACACATGGGGTATTGTCTAGATGACCTTCGATGCAATATTTTTTATGGTCAATTTTATCCCAATCACGACCATGGACCACGAGTAGGACCACGGAGAAAAATAAAAACCGGTAAGACATAATTTACTAATCTAGAAATAATTTTTTAACAGGTGTCAGTAAAATGTCTAAATTCAAACAAAACAATGTCCCTGGTAAAACTACTGCTACCCTTATTGGTCCTCCGTCAATTGGAAGCCAAGAGACAAACAATACCTTCGGATTATTGCGTGAAAGCTAAATACAACATGCCCTGTCGTTTTGATTGTACCCGAGGATCAAAATGTGCAACCCAAAAGATGGTCCCTTTAACCCCCTCTCAACGACGAGATGTCCTCAGGGAACATAACCTCCATCGGGATGAATACGTAGAGAAACTCATGCCGGACCACCTTAGATCCATCCCAACCCCTGTGTTATCCTACGACCTTGAATGTCAATTCTTCTCAGAATGTGCTATAAACCAATGTAAACTCCAACCAGACCCTTTTATGCGCTCTTTAGATGGAACCCCCTTACGCCAGAATGTCTTCTATCAATACGACATCCTCATTGGAGATGATGCAGATGTAGAAAAGGTCATGCGCAATGCAATTAGAAAATGGTATGAGCATCATCGCTATGTGAATTTATCCTCTCCCTTTGGAGATCCCATGATCCGCAGGAAGGGTGTAGCTGAATTCTGGCAACTAGTCTACCCCCACACCCTGTATGTAGGTTGTGCAGTTATGCAAACGCAAGACAGGGTCAAACGCAACATGGTTTGGGTCTTTTGCACCTATAAACCCGCCCTGGACATGCAGGAACTCTTCAGGCACTTAGAATCTACCTATGACCCTTTAGAAGAAACCCCGCCATTTTGTCAACGCAACCTCATGTACCCATCCCTATGTGGCATTAGAAGACGTTATGACCTCGACACTTTCATGATTAATTTAACTCATACAATTTAATTGTCTTTTTAAAATATATACAGGGTAATCAGAAAGTTATAAAATTAAAACCATCATATTCCAAAAGAGATAAACGCATAAAGACCAAGCTCCAAGGGTAAACCCACTTGATAAATCAAGAGGTGATGAATAGGTATCATCAGCAAGCAGTCTTAGAATCTACCTATGACCCTTTAGAAGAAACCCCACCATTTTGTCAACGCAACCTCATGTACCCATCCCTTTGTGGGATCAGGAGACGTTATGACCTCGACACTTTCATGATTAATTTAACTCATACAATTTAATTATCTTTTCATAATATACAGGGTAATCAGAAAGTTATAAAATTAAAACCATCATATTCCAAAAGAGATAAACGCATAAAGACCAAGCTCCCAGGGTAAACCCACTTGATAAATCAAGAGGTGGTGAATAGGTATCATCAGCAAGCAGTCTTATCTTCCCACAAAGATTACCAAACACCGGGTTCTTCTCACAGGTCCCATCTTTGTAGATAGGTGCACCAATCATATTCCCCGCAGGGAAATAATCACAGAATAAACTGTAGTAGTGTTTCTTACTGCTCGTATAGTGCATCTTCGCACAACCCACCAATTCGGTCTCACCCCAGATCAGGGCTGTCAGATGACCTATTCCCTTAGCACTAGGAAAATTCGCAACTATACCAGAATCATGCACCAGGGAAATCTCATTGAACCAAGACTGAATCCCATCCTCCAAAAAAGTCTCGGGGAACCCACTTGGGGCACTCATGATGGCCATGTGAAGGTTCTGCCCACATTTCTCACCTTTGGAGTTCAGTCGGACTTTGTCATGATTGAAATCACAGGCTTTTATGTGGCACGCAGCTAAGAATTCCATTTCTTTATCGTAGGACATTACTTTTATCCCACCATCACATGCGGGTAGGTTCTGGGAACTATAGTCTCCTTTAGCCACGGCTTCACGGAGTTCGTTGTGTTTTTGAAGGACACGCTCACGTTCATCATCGGTTAAATGTGCGAATTTATCGGCTGTTTGACCACAGGATGAACTGCGTTTGCATTCGGTGCGACACGGGGTGTTGCCAGAATCTGGCTTGCAGTAATCATCGAGTTTTATACCGACCACAATGGTAACCACGCCCAGGAAGAGTAAAAAATTAAAAAAATAGAAAGACATGTTTTTAAATTTTAGAGAAAATTATACTATGACAGTTTTTTGTAATAATAACGCCTACTTTGATTTATAAACAAATAAAAATTGTTTATTGTTACTAATAATTTATTTATTTATTTATTTATATTTTGGATATTAAAAATAACATAATAATTTGATGTAAATTATTATCAAGAGTACGAGATTTGTTAACACACAAGCAAGATGTATTGCATTCAAAAAATTAGGTTCATTGTCATGCGCATGCGCATACTCCTCCTCCATATTTTTACCACGCCCCTCATATTTAATCTCATCTATAATCTTCCCGTGAATAACCCAATCAAAATGTTGTTTCATTTCACAAAGTTTACAATATTCTTTGATAAGTTTCCGACTGTCAACTGACATATTCTCAAAAACGTAATAATTAAGCCCCGCCTCTTGGTCCCCATGCTTTGAGATGAAAGACGTGTTCAGAGGCGTGGTCTTTCCATCACACAGCGAATTAACTTGTGAGAAACAAATATTTTCATCATACAATAAATTTCTTGCTATTTTGGCTGCGTTTCTTTTCAGAGCCACGCCCTCTACTACATCAGGGGCGTAGTTTGGTAAACCAATCAAAGTAAACACCAGACAGGCACTCGCCAGTGTAATAATTGTAATTTCCCTAAACATTTTTATGAATTAATTTTTTTTTAATAAATTTTTGACGTTTTATTTCATTTTTGACAGAAAATATTTTATTTCTAAATAAAAAAAATTGTTTTTTGTAAAAATATAAATAAAAACACGCTGTATATAAATTTGTTTAGAATTATGTGTGTGTTTGCGCACTTGAAACGTGATTACACTCGCGTTTTAGTAAATATCTGTTATCGAAGTTGTTAACGTAGGCAAACAATCGTTCTTGAAATTTTGCAACGCGAGACACGACACTTTTTCCATCGCGCACTGCGTGTTTGCATAAATTTTACGCCAGCCGCGCTTGTATTGTTTATACAGATGCAAATTTCAACACCACAACGCCATCCTTTGATTAGCATAAACATCATTTCAGCCACTTGCTGTCAACCTCCTTCAAAACACATGAATTTTTCAATAAATTTTATTCAACTAACACTACATTCAAAACGTGTATATTGGGTTGCATATAGTTTACTAACATACACTTCTTATAATTCTGTGTATCATATACAAAGAAGGTAGGAATCTACTTAACCCTACTTCATTAGTCACACCCCCTGTGGCTACTTCCGCTTCTTTTCTTTCAACCCCACCTACTTCCGGGGCAATATAATCATCTTTATCCATCCGGCGTATTCTGCCACATAAATGCGGCCATTTTCGGTTATAAACCTCACAGGTTTTATTTTCATACACAGGGGAATTAAGCCAATTCCCTGAGGGATAATAACTGCAGTATAAACTATAGGCGTGGTCAATTTTACTTGGATCACTCCTTCTGCGTTGCATAAAGTGCATTTTAGCGCATCCTACCATTTTAGTCTCGCCCCAAATCATAGCTGTCAAATGCCCTACTCCTTTCCTCGAATAAAAATTCTTCGTTAATTCACTATCAGATGGCGTTAGGAGTTTATATTCATTGAACCAACGCGCAATGCCATTCTCAATATAAACTTTTGACCATCCCAGTTCATTGGACGAGTAAATCTGATGTAGATTCTGACCGACTTTTTCACCTTGTAAGTTTAACCTCACTTTATCATGCGTGAAATTACACTGGTTGATCCAGCAAGCCGCCATAAACTCTAATTCCAGTGAGTATGACAGGGCGTTGATTCCGCCATTACAAGCCGGAAGTTGATACGCGGAATAGTTGCCCATTGCAATACCCTCACGATAAGAATTATGCCTGATAAGATTTATTATAAAAATTACTATACAGAGTGTTTTATTGATTTTAAAAAATTTTTTTTTTGTAAAATGCTTACTGATCAAGTGCAAGTTGTCTTTCTTCAGGTGTAAGTGACTCATAGGTGTCGTCAGTGTCGCCACACCTGTCCGCACGAAGACATTTTGTTATACAGGGTGTATTCAACGTGTTACTCTGACAATAATCTTCAATTTTAGCTGATTTTATCCATATTGGTGAAAAATATAAAATAAATAAAAAATAAACTGGATTTTTGTGTTTTGTGCCATTTTGTGATCACTAACGTCTGAGATTCCGGCTAAAACTGCGGTGACTTGGAAATTTGATTAACGAGGTGAAGTGTTATCAGGAAAATGACTAAATGCTACGATAACACGTTGTGTAGGTTTACCGGCACGAATTTATGATAGATTGCAATATAAATATGAATTTTCCAGAGTGTTATGTCATCAGCCAGTGTAAATGAGACACAAATAAAATTTATTTAAAATGCGTATTATGTTTTAATATGCTTCAAAAATTATCACATTAAATATTTATTTTTTAAATTAAAAAAAAATTAGAACACTCTGTATATTTTTTTAATACGTGATTTATATGAATCACATTTGACAACATAATGATACAATTTACAGTGTAATTGGAGTTGACTCATGCGTTATTCAAATTTTTAAATGTTAATAAACTGATAGTGGTTGATTAAGAGCTATTCACCGATAGATGGCGTAAGATAAAAAGTAGGCGTGTCAATTGTTTGTGTGTGTGTATAAAATACGAAAAACACAATTTGTCGTAGTAATTAAATATTTTACGAGCGATGTCTGTCCGGCGGCAGTGGCAGTATTGGTGTGTGCGGCGTGTGGCGGCGGCGGCGGCAGCTGGTCTCTGATTTAATTGACCGCACACATTGTTACCACCGCCGCCGCCCACGCTGCTGCTGCTACTGTTTCCAGACTTGCACACATTGCATATTTATGAAGTCGCTTATTGAAAACGCGCCGCGTTTGTTTATAATTCACAATATCGTCAATGACAAATTGGTTGCCTACGGTCAGCGTCAACAACTTTCCGATACTCCAAAGTATACAACCGAATTTACATGATTTTAAACAATTTAATTATTTATAATTTATAATAAAGAATAAAAAATATAAAAAAATATATACAGAGTGAAAAATAAATCGATAAAGTTTAAAAAATTAAAAAATTGAATAAAAAGAAGAAAAAATTATTTTAAGAGAGGGAATCGACTAAAATCCTTTTACTTGACCATCGTGGTCAGTTTAAGACGTGTTGTGATGCGGTAAAGTCAGAAAAACCAACAAAATCAAGAAATTATACAAATTGTTCAAATAAAAACACTGTGATAAAATATTTAGTGCAAATATTATTACGAGGAATACAAGCGACACTTAGGTAAATGATTTATAACAATTCCTAACAATAAACTAATAACTTAACGCTATTATCGATTTTTATGCATAAATAAACAAGAAACTCATTTTACTTAGTCACACAAAGCAAAACATTTTTTGTTTGCCCACGAAACAATTTCATAAATTAAATTTTAGCAAAAAATCGACATACAGAGTGTTTTTACTGTATTTTGAAACAATTTCTCGTGTTATGTTATTTGTCGCGTTTCACGTGCAGCACCAGTTTGCGTTCAGTTCAAGTTCAAGTTCTATTTATAGATCACCGGCGCGCGATGCAAGAAGATGAAGAAGCCGCAACTAGCTCATTATAATCGTCATAAAAGGTTAATTACACGCTGGCTCTACGTGCGTGTGTGTACATGTACGTGTCTACGCGATTATCATAAAACCAGACGTGTTTCCAGCAGGCGCACATTGCATAGATTTTTTCTCATTCTATTTCATCTACAATGTGTACAAATTACATTCGCAATACAACACGAATAAAATTATTTTCTTTTAAATTTTATAAATTTACAAAAACACTCTGTATATTAAACATGTCTTGTGGAGTGTAAGTGTAAGTATGCGTACGACCTTGACATTCGCGTCTGCGTACGAGTGCAACTCTTGCATTAAGTTGAATTTTGTAAGAAAAACATAAAATTTTTATTTTTATTAAATTTTGTTTAAATTATGATTATTATTCTTGTGTTTTGCATACCGACGTCAATGTGAACAAATTGTTTATTGTAATTGTTGCACAATGATAGCGCGCGCTGGTGTTTTGTTTTGTTTTCTTCTTGCGTACGGAAATGACATTTGCGTATTTTGTATTTTGTATTTTGTATTGAGTTACATAAAGTATTTGCGCATGTCTCAAGTATGCGGGATTAACAATAATGTGTTTATTTATAGACACACACACATACAACAATAAATTATGTTGTTATTTCTGCAATTTAAAAAAAATATGAATGAAATGTTTATGAATCAATTTTTATTTTTATTCTTTTGTAAAATCGGTCATTTATGACACGAAACAACTACTTTTTCAACTATTGGCCGCTAGATGGCGTTAGAATATTATTAATCACAACCAAATATTAATATTTTACGCGAATAGGCAACTTTTAATCAAATTTAAACGAATTAACTTAAATTTTCATTTTTTTAATATAAATCTGTTAGTTTATGACATAAAAACTACTTTTTTAACTATTAGCCACTAGATGGCGTTAGAATTTTATTAAACATAATCAAATATTAATATTTTACACCGATAGGCAACTTTATAATCAAATTTAAATGAATCTCTTTTAGTTTAAGAGATATTCGCGATTGAATAAAATAAACAAAAATAGCAAAATGTCACTTTTTAGCACTTTTAGTCGCGTTTTTCGACCTTTTACTGTAGGAAATATAATTATTTTATATTTTTATCTGATAGAGAATTTTCCAATCTTTCATAATCAACAATTCGTTGGTAGATATCTCTTTTAGTTTAAGAGATATGAATTTTCAAAATTCGTCGAAAAAGTATCAAGCACCCCCTCTGCAATTTTTTCTTAAGAATGAAAATTTTATCTCTCAGATTTCCGTTTTAACTAGCCTATCTTATAGAAAATAGTCCGTAGATTAAGACGCTGCGATCAGATCTTAATTATCTCTTTTAGTTTACGAGATATTCGCGATTGAATAAAATGGTCAAAAATAGCAAAATGTCACTTTTTAGCACTTTTAGTCGCGTTTTTCGACCTTTTACTGTAGGAAATATAATTATTTTATATTTTTATCTGATAGAGAATTTTCCAATCTTTCATAATCAACAATTCGTTGGTAGCTATCTCTTTTAGTTTAAGAGATATGAATTTTTGAAAATCGTCGAAAAAAAGTATCAAGCACCCCCCCTTGGCAATTTTTTTCTTAAGAGTGAAAATTTTATCTCTCAGATTTCCGTTTTAACTAGCCTATCTTATAAAAAATAGTCCGTAGATTAAGACGCTGCGATCAGATCTTAATTATCTCTTTTAGTTTACGAGATATTCGCGATAGCAAAATGTCACTTTTAGCACTTTTAGTCGCGTTTTTCGACCTTTTACTGTAGGAAATATAATTATTTTAAATTTTTATCTGATAGAGAATTTTCCAATCTTTCATAATCAACGATTCGCTGGTAGCTATCTCTTTTAGTTTAAAAGATATGAATTTTTGAAAATCGTCGAAAAAAAGTATCAAGCACCCCCCCTTGGCAATTTTTTTCTTAAGAGTGAAAATTTTATCTCTCAGATTTCCGTTTTAACTAGCCTATCTTATAGAAAATAGTCCGTAGATTAAGACGCTGCGATCAGATCTTAATTATCTCTTTTAGTTTACGAGATATTCGCGATTGAATAAAATGGGCAAAAATAGCAAAATGTCACTTTTTAGCACTTTTAGTCGCGTTTTTCGACCTTTTACTGTAGGAAATATAATTATTTTATATTTTTATCTGATAGAGAATTTTCCAATCTTTCATAATCAACGATTCGCTGGTAGCTATCTCTTTTAGTTTAAAAGATATGAATTTTTGAAAATCGTTCCGTTTTAACTAGCCTATCTTATAGAAAATAGTCCGTAGATTAAGATGCTGCGACCAGATCTTAATTATCTCTTTTAGTTTTAGTGGTTTATTGTTGAAATTTAGTGCAACTTCGTGTATGGGTGAAAAATGGCGCGTTTTTTTCATTAGTCCACTCATCCATTTGCAACCCCCGAATTTCTATTACTCTTTCTTCTCCTCGTCTAAGCGCCACAGCGCACACAACAACCGCGCGCTTTATTTATCTTATTTTCGTATTTTCGCTTCATTCTTTGCTCGTTTATTATTTCTTTTCGCTACACTTTATTAGTCTCTCTTTCCCTTCCCCTTCCCCCTACCCTTCTCTTGGCGATTGTTGATTGTTCATTGTGTATTGTGGCCGCATTTATTTTCCGACGATATTTTTACGTGACGCAACGCGAGTTGAAATATTGTTTATCGGTTTTTGTTGATGTCATTTGTAACAAACGCAACATTTACTGCAAGTTTTTTTTGTTAATATCGAGTGATTGAACTGATAGCCGCTGATAAGGATAATATAAAATCACTTACGTTCAACATTCTGGAAAGTGGGACTTACCTATAAGAAAGAAAAATATTAATATTAATATTTTAATCATTTTGTAAGTATTTTTTATTTATTTATTTATTTATAGTGATAATTACCTTAGGATCCTTAATTAATGTAATTAACTGCTGCGCATCTCGTCAAAGGAATGAAACCAGAACCAGAACCATGGTACTTGTACTTCAATTGGCACTTCTCACGTCACAAACACAAAACGCGATAATTTTTAATGTTTTTTAACGGATTTTATTAGTCCCGCACTGATTTTCACAATTTTCCAGTTTTTCTTAGTTTTTCTACACTTTAAATTATTTATTCGTAAAGCCGTTGGTATGTGTTCGTCATACTAGTATTAAAATAACTGAATTCTTTAAACTTAGTCTTTATGCTGCTAGCAGTGAAGTAAAATACAAGTCTTTTATCTTTTGATAAGATTGTTGCCCGAGATAACGCGCCGCGGTACCGAAACACGTAAATAAGAATCCAGATCAAAACATTGGATTCAAATATTTTATTCTCACGGTGTAAGCGAATAAAACTTACACTTTCAATGTTGATTCTCACGTTACTAACACAAAAGTTAATGTTTTTCGATGTAAATATTGATTTTAATTAGTATTCAAATGTTTTTGAGTTTTTCACTTATTAAATTAAATAATTGCAAGAATTTTCTTTATAAAACAGGGTTTTCAATTCAGTTATTAATGTTTCTAATGTTTTTTTCGCGTAATTTATTAGTCCGGCACTGATTTTCACGATTTTCCAGAGTTTTTCTTAATTTTTCACTACTTCAAATTATTTATAAGTTAAATCGAAGAGATGTGATCGTTACACTCGAATAAATATAACTGAATTCTTTAAATTTAGTCTTTATATTGCTAGCAATGTAGTAAAATACAAGTCTTTTATCTTTTGATAAGATTGTTGCCGAGATAACGCGCCGCGCCGTCGAAACATGTAAACAAACATTCAAATCACGACATTTGAATTCAATATTCTATTCTATTCTATTCTATTCTCGCGATTTAAGTGAATAAAACTAACACTTCAATATTGATTCTCACGTTATTAACACAAAAGTTAATGTTTTTCATAAATAAATATTTATTTTAATTAATAATCAAATATGTTTGTCTATTTCACGTGTTTTATCAAAAAATTGCAAGACATTTCTTCGTAAATCAAAATTTTCTAATTAATTAATAATGTTTTTGCTCTTATTTAAAAGTTATTTGTTTGTCTTTACCTCTTTTCACAAATTTTCACTATATTTCTTAATTTTTCTTCACTTTAAATAATTTATTCGTTATGCTAACAATATGCGTGTGTTTCACTTGAATCAAAATTAATAACTGAATTCTTTCATTTAAATCTAGTCTTTACCTGCTAGCAGATTCGCAACAACAAGTTTTTATCTTCTGATAACAACGCAGCGAAGATAAACGCGTCGACGCATCGAACACGTAAACAAACCTCGGTCGGATTCAAAACATTAGAATAGAAATCCGCATTGTAATCACATATACTTCTCAATTCACACACACAAACAAAGATTTAATATTAAAAAGTGAATAGTAGTGACATCTACACGAGAATTTTAGAAATATATTTAAGTAAGCATTCTATTGCACTCACACATCATACGTTTCTCTCTTTTACTTTATATTCACTTACTCACACCACCAAAAAACATTTAACGTAAATACGTACATGTATAGCCATCTACACGCAAATTCATGAATTATATTCAGTCAAAAGTGAAAGTAAATATCAACTCACCCTCACACCACACGACCTTCTACTTAACTCAACGTACAGTCACTCACACCACCACACCAACATTAAATGCAAATAACTGCATTGTAGCGCCATCTATAGCTATATTTTATAACTATTTTCGTAATAATCCCTACTGATATTATAAATGCGAAAGTCCTGATGTTTGTTACACTTTCACGCAAAAACTACTTAACCGATCATCATGAAAATTTGTACACATATTCTTAGTGATCCCCGAATGGTTATAGGCTACTTTATATTTAATAAAAAATCAACAAAAATAACATCGTGCTGCGCAAACAAATTGATTCAATGCGGAATCACAAATCACGAGATGAAATAAATGATCATGTGAACTCGATTAAATCAAAACCGACGTCAAATTCATCGTAAATCATTAAAAACTCATCAGTGGTCAAAAACACCAACAAAAATGTATTTGGTAATTATGAACAGAGATGGCGCTAGTTGTCACCGATAATAACCTATATTTTAACATAAAAACACGAATAAACAATGGACAATTGTAAACAAGAAGTAAACAAACAAGTGACGTGAGTTTACGCGCGTAAATGGCGCATCCGTAATTGAAAACTGAAATGCAAACTCGAATCGAACTCGAACGCTCGCGCGTCATTGCGCTCACCCTGAAATGGACTTCCTGTACAAGTTGAGAACAAAATGGCCGCGCTTCAATTCCGCCACGGAAGTTTACAAACATTTACAATACAAAACACTTTGTTTGAAACTAAATTTAGAGAAATAACAAATTATTTTGATTAACTTTTTTATAAATAAACAATTTTATTGAAAATAATGATAATAATAATAATTATAGGTCCTAATTATTATTGTCCGTATAAAATTTAATTAATTACACGTAATTATCGCTAATTGCAGGTGTGACAAATGTTTCCATCTCTTTTTTCGTGTTTTGTTGATAATTATACGCTAAGTAAGTCATTGTTGTCGTGTGTAATTTAACACTAGTTGATTGCCGATATTTAGCGTCAATTTGCGCTAGTTTGCAATAATTACCATGTGAAAATCGAGAACAATGATTAAATAAACACGAAAATAAATTATTTTTTTTATTTTTGTGTTACAATGTATTTTATGTTACGTAAACTGCGTGTGAGGGCGCCATGTTGGAGTGCCAGCTCGTTGGTTTAACTTGTTTTTTGTAGTTAAACGTTTTTAAAATCTCGAAAAATTAGCGGTGCTTAAAATGAAAAGTTGGCCGAGCGACGGAGCGCAAAGTTTCGAAAACTAATTTGTGTTGCTTTCAGCACTCATACGGTGGAGTGTATTGGAGGCGGCTGGGAGCGGTTGTTACACCTGTAGTATTACCTGTTGGCTTGACTCGACTGCTTCGGCTTCGAGTTTAATTTGTTCACTTTGTTCACTTAACTTTTTCCACTCGGGTGTTGTTGGGTTTTTATTTTTATTTTGCACTCGAGTCTTGATGTTCTGGACTTTATTTAATCGTTTAAAATTTAAATTAAAATTTCATTCGCGTATTTTTTAGCTTATTAAGAGTGCTTTGTTGTTTAAATATCGTAAAAGCATAATTAAACGTTTAATTGCTGGGATATTGTCAAAATATTTACATTTTTTGCATTAATTTAAAGGTTTTTGGGTAAAATTTCATTTTAAATGACTTAAGTCACTTTGAAAATTTAAGTCAACTTAAACAAAAACTAATAATTTTTGTTAAATATATTACTTATTAATCACTTATTAATTTAAGTCACTTTTCACAACATGACTTAAGTTAAGTTTAGTCTACTTAAATCAAATTTTCGTTATTTTGCTCTGTTGCACATAGAAATACTAAAATTTGATTGTTGTCTGTTTAAGTCACATACTTAAGTACCTTTCGCGTTTAAAATATTTACATTTTCTGCAAAAATCGGCAGTTTTATCAAAAATTGCGAAAAATCTAAGAAAATTTTGCAAAAAAATAATTTTTTTAACATTATCCAATATTTTATTAATTATTTATTTATCTGGAACACACCCAAACCCAAAAAACAAAAAATTTCCACTTGTTCTGTAATAATAAACACCGTAACATCGACCTTATTACACAAAACCTATTTTGACAATATTTATACCTACATATAATATATAATTTGTAAAACTTTGTTTGCAACAAAACCGAATAGTAATTAGTTTGTTTTCCTAAAAATTTTAATCTCTTAATGCGACAAAATAAGCATGTATGTAAAAAAATTCCGAAAAGCCGGCGATCGTGGAAAGTTCTGTGCACGCGGTGAGTAAATGGGTCATAGACTGCGCATGCGCACCGCACTCACGTATAAATTACCATATAATATCCATGCTCACTTTACTTGTGTAATCTCAATGCGAAAAACTATCGAATGCGGCTGATAAGCGTCGAAAAGTCGCGACACATCGAAACAATCCAAGCCGCGTGCAAAACAATCGCTTAAATTATTGATTTGCGATGCATACTCACGGCAATTCATTAATTAATTCATAATTACCGTAAATATTTACACAAAATGTAATTAATTCCGAAATTGAATTATTATGTTAGTTATAAAATAATAAATTATTGATTTTTTTAGTTTTTGTGAAAGAAAATTGCAGATTTTAACGAAAATTTGATTTAAGTAGACTTGACTTAACTTAAGTCATGTTGGGAAAAGTGACTTAAGTCAATAAATGATTAATAAATAATATATTTTCCAAAATTACTATTTTAAACTTAAGTAGACTTAAATTTTCAAAGTGACTTAAGTCATTTAACATTACTTAATGAAAAATTCTGACTTGTATTATAAAATTAATAAGAAACATTATAATTACTAAAATTTATTAGTTTTAACTTAAGTTGACTTAAATTTTCAAAGTGACTTAAGTCATTTAACATTACTTAATGAAAAATTTTCATATTCACAAATATTTTCCTTTGAGTTTTATTCATTGAATAGTACACACTTTACAATCGCGTTGACTTAACTTAAGTCGCATTGCAATATCAATGACTCACACATCGATATTAATCAATTACACAAACGAAAAAATTCCAAAACATTTTTATTAGGTTAGGTATAAAATGCAGTTTAACGACCTTTTTGAAAAATCGAAATTTATTGCGTCTCATCGACGCAGTTTTATTTTTAACTACACGGCGGTCAGTGCCAACAAATCATGAACTTGAAATTCGCAAAAGTAAATCAAAAAATAAAGGGTTAAAAATAGCCTGCGCGGCGGAAAAAAAAGGGCAGAAGAAAAAACTGGTATTTTTGGCTGCCTTGACCATGCACTTAAAATATGCGACTCATAAATCTTTCCAAAAACTTATACAGCGTGTTTTAAATTTTTTACAAATTAAAATTTTTAAAATTTTTTGTTTGTTGTTATTTTATCTATAAAAATATTAAATAGAATGGAATATTTTTCAGGAATGTTAATGTGCGGAAAACAATTACTCAAATATTGACACCCGAGCGATAAACAAAATAATTTGTTTAACAACAACAAAAAAAATTCCTAAACATATTGTATCTTTTTCCGTATTTGTTTAAATATTGAGCATGCATGACAATGCATTATATTATTTGTTGCAACATTGTGTTAATTTTTAAAACTAATATTAAATTTTTTATTTCAATGTCTGTGTCATTGTCAGCTGGTTTTACAGTTGGTGACAAAGAATTGTTGTTATTGCAAAGCAAAGCGGCACAGTTTGTGTATGTGTTCGATTTTAATTCTTCATCGATGGTTAACCTCTCTAACGAGCGCGGTATAGTGACTTAAGTGGCTTTTATCTGACTTAAGTCATATAGTTGAGACTCGAAAGGTGCTTAAGTATGTTAGTTGTAAACAGACAACAATCAAATTTAATTTTTGATGCCACAGAGCAAAATAACGGAAATTTTATTTAAGTATGGGTTGACTTAACTTAAGTCATGTTGGGTAAAGTGACTTAAGTTAATAAATGATTAATAAGTAATATATTTTGGGAAATTATTAGTTTTTGTTTAAGTTGGGTTAGATTTTTAAAGTGACTTAAGTCATTTGATATTACTTAATTAAAATTTAAGCAAATTTGATGTTATTTAACTAGGGTTAACTTACGTCATGTTGGGAGAAGTGACTTAAAGATTAATAGATAATTGACTTTAAAATAATTTTAAATTTCTTTGATTTTTAGTTTTTTTTACAATTTTCTAATAAAACTGATGGTTTTAAGTCTTCTAAAGAACTTAGAACCAAAATAACGGAAATATTTACTTAAGTAGACTTTACTTAACTTAAGTCATATTGAAAAAAGTGCCTTAACTTAATAATTAATTAATAAATCATATTTTTCCAAAAATCATCATTTTAACATTAAGTAAACTTAAATGTCCAAAGTGACTTAAGTCATTTAACATTACTTAATGAAAAATTCTCACATTATTTTAATTATTTATTGAATCGTCCACACTCGTCGCTAGTCGCGCCGACTCGTCTTAAGTCCGTTTGCGCCGTGGACTGAACTTAAGTCGCGTTGCAATTTCAATGACACACACATCGCGCGGACACGCGCTCGCAGACAGTCGCAGGTGCGCAAGTGCATTATTTTACTCGTCGGTCGTGTATCGAAAAACCAGTCTCGTGCCAAACACGCTTAAGTCACTTCGATCCCATCAACAGCGTTATCGTCCGCAGCCAAGAAACGTACCGCACAACTCTTGCCAACAAAACAAATCGAATCAACAAAAATAAACTCCAATAATAATAATTTTAATATAATTTATGTGCGCGAATTAAAGTGATAAGTCAAACTTACTTAATTTAAGTTTAATCATATATTCGTTGAGTGAGTTTTAATTGCGGAAGCCTTACTACGCATGATTATTCGCCACACGAAGGTAATAAAAATCACAATCACAATACACAATCATAACTTAAGTCACGAATCTTAAGTCATGATACAAATTTTTACTTTGTGCGCCAGACTTGACTTAGCATGTAAAAAAATTAATAGTTTAAAGAAAGTTTGTGGCATGTTTATTATCACGCTATTTGCCAATTAACATTAATATTTATGTGACTTAAGTCACTTTGGGATTTCGGTTCTAGAACAATTTGACTTTAAAATTTTTAATTTAGATAGGCATACTTAAAGTTCACTTAAAAGTCCACGCACGTCAACTTACGCTAAAAATACTACCGATTTACACATCGTAAGTTTGCTAATTTTTTAATTATTGCTTTTTCTACGTCATGAAAATATTTTTAAATTTCCTGTTTTTTTTTTGGTTTCGATTAAAATGACTTAAAATGGTTTCCTTATGCGTTTTATGAAAGGCATTTAAGTTTGTTTTGATTTTGTGCGTTCGGTTTTGGGTTTTTTCCGTTCCGACGTGACTTAAGTCACTAGCGCAGGAGCAGTGCAAACCGAAACCAAAACCTCACCTACAGCTTCTTCTTCTTCAGCTGCACAGAGTTCAGCTTCACTGAACTTCCTCTCTTGCCTCATCGCACTGCGTGTTTTTCAACTTGACTTAAGTCACTTAAGGGGATACACTACTTAATTTTTTGTATAAATTTTATAATTTCCGGTAAAAATATTAAAAATATAACAAAAAATAAAAAAAATTTAAAAATGTGACTTAACTTAAGTAAATTTTCAACAAAAAATGTTTAAACAATAAAAATAATAACAATAATAAACAATTAACGTCTATAACACTCCAAAATAATCGAAATTTAATTAGATATTAATTATTTCACTCATTTCTGGATTAAAATATTATGCAACCAAGTCTACTTCCTTAACAAACCAAAACCTTGCTTAACTTAAGGTTAACTTAAGTCGCACGTGTTTGCGTCTGCTGTAGTGCGCAGTCTTGAACTTGCTTGATCTTCTTCCTGCGCCTTCTCCGCGTTTTAAGCTTGTCTTAAGTCACAATAAAGAGCTAAACCGTTGCATTTGGTTGCATCCACTCCGCCATTACGGATTACATCACACTAGTTACCTTTCCCTCCGTTAGAGGACGCCGCGCGGCCTAAAAATACCACCACACTATAAAACCACTAACCATAATCTATAGATAAGTAATGTAGGCCACCCATTAAACAAATTGCGATTTTATTATTCGTTCTTGACTCCGCACAACGCAAAAACTGCGATTTGCGTGTTTTTGATAATTTATTATGCTACCACTGAATTATTATTATTACTAATGAGAAAATTGGTTGTCATCTTCGATGCGGTTGCTGATCACAATTAAAATAATATCCTATTGTCATGCGCCATCCGCGGTGTGATTAAAGTCGGCCATTATGTGGTTACGTGATTAATACATGAATAAAAATAATAAAATTTATTTTTTCGCTCAAAAATCTACAATAAATCTGTCAACTTGTCAAAATTACATGAAATGTCAGCCATTTTCGTGAATATTACGTCCTGCAAGCGCATTTTTGCATTCCCACTGTAAGTCTGAAATTGTAATCTAATTGTAGCTTCTGTTTCCTTCACCGCCTCCCGGATGAAACATTAATTGCATTATAAGTGAATTCTTTGGACACGTTTGACATTTTCTTTCATTTTTGTTTATCTCAGCGACATCTATCTGTATATTAATGTATTAATATATTCCCCTTATGTTTCTAGTGTTAATTTGGTTGCCTATCTTGTATAAACCGTCATCATGTCAGAGAAGAATCTCCTCTGGGACTATCTGGTGTTTATTGTGTTTGTCATCGCGACGACTTTCGTCGCGGTCTATTCACGCATCTGTGGCACGAAGGAGAAAACCAAAGCCGATTATGTCTTCGCCGCTGGAAAGGTGTCGATGAGCGCCATGATGCTTAGCATCGCAAGGGGGACAATCGGCGTACGCTCGTTTCTAGGTAAGTAAAGTTGCCTACATTCACATTCACATACACACACAGAAGAAAAAAACGATGAGATTAATATTAATCTGTTGATAAATTGAAATTTTAATTTATGAGTTTTTGGGGGATTAGTCGTGGACGGCTTTGATTAAAATTAATTTTTAAAGCCGTGATGAGCTGCCATTTTGTTTGGCGCATAAATTAATTACTGCTGTCGAAAATTGCCAAAATTACAGAAAGTATTAAAGTCTAAAGTGTTTGATTTATACAAAATCAATTTAATTAATGTATAGAGTGTTTAAAATCAATTTTAGGGATTGTAAACTTTTGTCCGCTAGATGGCGCTAGTTGAAAAGTCATTAAAATTTGTTGTTTTTTGATTAATTCTAGTTTTTTCATAACTTTTAACATAAAAACGTGATAAATACTTAAGTAAATGTATTTCTGCGCATGCGCAACGAACTTAAGTTACTTTAAAATGTCAGTCATTTTGTTTTCTGCATAAATTTGTTATTTCTGTTGAAAATTGGCTAAAATTACAGGAAATATAAGATTTATATTTTATAAATATACAGAGTGTTTAAATTTATTAGGTAAAGTGTAAACTATTGTCCGCTAGATGGCGTTAGTTGAAATGTTATTAAAATTTGTTGTTTTTGATTATTTCTTGATTTTTTTTATAACTTTTAACATTAAAACGTAATAGATACTTAAGTAAATGTATTCCTGCGCATGCGCGACGAGCTTAAGTGTCTTTAATTTGTCAGCCATTTTGTTTTTCACAAAAATTAACTATTTCTGTGAGAAAAATGTCAAAATTACAGGAAATATTCACGCAATATTTAATTAATATACAGTCTGTTTAAAATTACTCATAAAAGTCTAAACTACTCGCCGCTAGATGGCGCCACTTGAAATTTATTGAATAATACGTTGTTTTTCTTTGATTTCGCAATTGTTTATCACTATTTTGCATAAAATCATAATATAGACATAAATGTATTCTTCATTAACAAACAAACGTTTCGAAACGGGTTTCTGTTCTGTTGCTGGTGCTGCTGCTGCTTCGGATGAAAAATATCCGCGCCGTAACATGGAAATTGCATTTCTGCGCGCATTCATTGCGCAATTCGAATTCGAATCGAAAACAAAACTCACATTCAGCGCAACCTTAACTTATGTAAACCTCGCGCGCCGCGACTTAAGTCAATTCCACACACAACATGATAATTAATACATTATGTGTGTGTGTTCGGCGGTGTGTTTTTGCAACACTTGAACTTTACGTTTACAATTATTGGAAATCGCGGTGGTAAACACCTGTAAGACGCGACGTGAGTCACGTATATTATCATCGACGTGTTTTTGTCGATACGAAATTTTATTACCGTTTTTATTAATTCGCCGCGTATATCTTTCTAATTATGACGCAATTAATTTCATCTTAAACTTGGCTCGCCGTGCGGTGGTTCGTGTGTTTATTTTTTCTGCGTTTGATCGCTTCTACGAATTATATAATTATCGTGTGTACGGTCGTGATGGATTCGAATTGTCACTGGGTGGAAATTCAGAAAATAAATGTTCAAAATACAACATGCGACTAATTAAGTGTCAATCATGAAAATTACAGTGCATAAAAAACAATTATACCGTGTGGGAACGCTAACATTTGGTCATACACATATTTTTAATTCAATTTTTTCAATAAATTTTGTTTTATTTTTAAAAATTCGCAGAAATATTAGAAATTTATATTATGACTTGTTTTGTATTATCCCCGCGGTATAATTATATCATTTATTTAACATGAATTACTTTTATTTAAATTTTATAATCTCTTTTAATATTTTATTGTCAAAATATGACGATAATTAATTTAGGTTATGACTACTTTTGTGTTATCCACATGGTATAATTACTATATCATTTAAATTTGGGCAAAATGACTTTTTATTCAATTTTTTACTAAAATATGACTAATATTAATTTATGTTATGACTTGTTTCTCTCCTATGCCGCAGGGTATAATTAATCCAGCATTAGAGTAAATATTGAAATTTAAACGACGCAATGCAATCGGCATTAGGACATTAAAGTTAAGGTGAGGCGCGCGAGGTGTTGCGAAAATTGATTGAAAAACGATTGGCAAGAAACGCTGCCACTCATTAGCGGAAAATCCAATCGTACGGGCGCGCATGCGTACACCTCAATGCGTCAAGGTCACTCGGACCGGCTTGCCGCGGCAATTAACACGCTGCTCGAAGTATGCGCGTTATGCAATATGCGATTTGCACACACTCAATAATTACTAATTACTTTATTGATTGCACCGCCTAAGTTCACACAACAAGCGAAATGTCAAAGTCATTTTAAAACAATTAAAATTATTTAAATCACGAATTTCTGCAAACACTCTGTATATTCCGGTGTAATTACAACCAGGAAATAAATAACTATTACGAATCGTCGTAGAATGATAAACATTAATGTAATTTATGTGTTGGATTCGTGTAAACACGATGTATACAGTGACGCCATCTAGCGGTGAATAGCTTAGAGATGTTGTAGTTGTATAATGTTAGTTTTATTGCATTTTTTAATTTTTACTGGGAAAATAATGTGATGGAGATTTGTTCCTGGAAACAATTATGTCGCGCGCGCGGAGTCTGAGGGCGGGGGCGGAGCTCCGCAATCATCGGTCATCCGATTTAACGCCGCCGCCCGACGCGCAAATAAGATTATCCACGATTACGCTAATTATCCGCGCGTTCGGTTCGTTCTACGAACGCGATTTTGATCCATCGTTGCGCAAACAAATATATACAAAGTGTTCAATCAAAAAAATATCAAAAATTATTAAATTCTTTATTTATTTGAAACACTCTGTATATAATTTGATTGTGATTGTACATGTGTTCCGGGTGTTCACATGTGCACGTTCATAATTCATAATTAATTATTATTTATCGCTTGGGGGCGGCTGGGGGCAGCTAACGGCGTGACAAGTCTTTATTCTGCAAAAATATACAGGGAGATGACTTAAATCATATAAAAATTAACTAAAAATCTTTTATTTTGTTTTTATTTTTTATTTTTGTATTGATTTAGTGTTTTTATGTGTTTTTGGTTTGTTTTATAAACGTAGGGTGTCGCTGGCGTGTGGATGACATTAAAGTTGCATAGCTTGCACGCCAGTGTGAAAACAAACACACGCCGGGAAATAATTACGCTGCTAATCGGTTTTGTCGTGCGACGAAGATACAAACGAAAGAAAATCCAACCGCACACAAACCAAACTATTCTATTTTATTATTTTCTTCTTATTTTAAGGTTTTCCCTCGGAATTATACTACAGGGGGAGTGCAATGTGGGAAACCCTCTACGGAATGATTCTCGCCTATCCAATAGTCGCCTACGTGTTTGTCCCCGTCTACTTTGGCCTTGACATAACCTCAGTGTATCAATACTTGGATCTGCGCTTCAAGTCGCGTCTGGTGCGTTGCCTAGCTTCGGGCACTTACGTCGTACGTCAGCTACTCAATCTGGGCGTGACTGTTTTCACTCCATGCGTTGCTCTTAACACAGTCATTGGCATTCCGTACTGGGCGAGTATTTTCGGCATAACCATCATTAGTATCATCTTTACTATTTTGGTAAGTGTAATAACTTTGAACATATTGTATATGGGTAGTGGTATCATATGTTATGGAACTATTTTTGCGCGCCGCCAGAGGGCGCTTTTTAAAAGTCCATTACGCTGTGCAAACAAATTTCGCGCTCGACTCGACGGCGGTGGCGGTTAGCTTGATAAGCCCTTGTGCACACAGGCATACGCGATATTCTTGGCGGCGGCGGCGGCGGCGGCAAATATGAACATGAATAATAACATAAACATTTTTTTCATCCCTCGAGTGCGCCGCGGCGAAGAAAGTGAATTTTCATGTTTTCACGGATAGATATAATAAAAAACAAATGATAAGACAACACCTGGAACTATAGGCAACCAAACATACACGTTATTGTATAACTGGTTGCCTGTTTGATGCTTAAACAAAAAATTCTTATATTTTTTGAGTGTAAGTTTATTAAAAGATGATAATAGTGTGAGGGTTAACGGGTGGATATTGGAGGCGGCGGTTTTCCGCCATCCGGCGTCGGGTTAATTACGAATGAATAATGAAAGCCGCGTGCTTGCGGATTACGGACCGAAGCTCGCCAAATTCCCACTTCCTGATTAATTAGCAAGCGCAACTACGTCTTTATGCTCCGCCCACTACACTTTTACACTACAACGCCATCTATCCACACCTAGTCAAACCTTTAAAACGAATTTTTGCATTTTTTGTTTTTTTATTTCTATTGCATGAGAGTTTATTACAAGTTGTGAAGTTTACTCAAGCGACCGCGACTTGAACAGGCACACAATAGATACGCCACCCCTCTTTACCCCCACCCCTTTGAAAATACACGTTGCAAACTTCTTGAACAAACGCAAAGTTTCTCGCGCGCACGAATTAAAATCGACTCCGCTGACGAATCAAGTTAGGCAACTTGTGCTACTTAGCAAACTTATGCAACACGATGCACATTTGGTTGCATACTTAGCATTTTAAAAATATATCTAGAAGTTTTCCGTTGTATTGTTTAATCTCTCAATGACGCTGTATGTGTTTGATGTGTTGCATATCTCATATCTCATTTCGGCATTTGAGGTTGATTGGCCCCTTAACCTCACATTTCAGCGAGTATATCGTGTGGTTGATTTCATGGAGCGTCTTTGCATTATATCGCAATTTCCACACACACTCCACATGGTACAATGTACACATATATACAGTATGTCCGAAGAAATAGTTTAAAATATTTAGAAAGTGTTTTTATGTGATTTAAAGCGTTGTTTTGAGGTTAAGATTAATTATTGTTTTATTATATTTGAACATAGTGTATGTAAAAATGCAATCTACCTATTAGGCGCCTACCTGAGCGCGTTCAATATGCAGGCGCCATATCCGGGCGTCAGTTCGCATTAGCCGGCGCTTTGCCGACGTTTGGGGGCGGCCGGAGGCGGCTTAGGTAACAAGGCGGGTAATAAACGATTAGCGCGCTCAGGTAAGGGTAAACAATCCGGCTCTCGTGCGGCGAGCATAGATTAATTAATTATGCATTGCCATTCGACTTTGCCGCCCCCCGGAAAATCAAAAAATGATTATTACACATTCAAAACGTTTTTAATTATTTTCACTAATTCTACGGACACACTGTATATTCCCAAAGTTGATTTACATGAAAATACGAAATGTCAGCGAGATGTCAAAAGCAAAGTGCATCTTCCGCGAAGATATGCAACCCGGCGCGCGTCGCATATCAATGTGATACTTTTTGCGCTCGAAACAAACTTTGCAAACTTTGTTCGCAAGTTGGTTCGAACACGAAGCCCGCGAATCTTGAAACGCACAATGACACCCCCAATGGCTGCGTGTTGTGACCTCGCGTCACCGGAAACTTTCAGACCTGTCAAAACATTTGACATCATCCAAATTCAAACTTTACAACTATTTCAACTCTACATCTCTATTTATATTTATATTTGTATTTATTTATAGGGTGGTTTAAAGGCGGCCATTTTGGCTGACGTCATGCAAGGTTTAACCATGATTGCGTTATGTTTGGTTATGATCATCAAAGGAACCCTTGAAGCCAATGGTTTTGGTGAAGTGATGAAGAAAAACATAGATGGCGGTCGTCTGGACTTTTCGAGTAAGTATTTCGACACCAACGCCATCTACAAGTGAATATTTTAAGTTTTATTTGAATTTTATGATTTTAGTTGGAATCTTGATCCGACAATTCGTGTAACTACCACGTCTGCGCTCGTAGGACAACTTTTCATGTCCCTGTCAATCTTTGGCTGTCAACAGAACTTTGTCCAGAGATATATCAGTATGGATTCACAGAAAAAAGTCAACAAGTTAGTAATTAGTAATTTCTAGGGATTTTTTGTTTGCAAAGTTGGTAACTTTTATTTTTTGACATTTTAGGACTTTATGGTGTAATATCCCGGTAATTACGGTCCTGTTCAGTTTATCCTGGGTTGTTGGCATGGTTATCTACGCGATTTACTCCGATTGTGACCCGTTGAGCAGCGGATACATAAAAAAATACGACGAAATCTTACCGTTCTTCGTCGAGGATCGTTTCAACGCTATCCCCGGCATCATGGGATTATTCATGGCGAGTTTATTCAATGGCGCATTAAGGTAAGTTATAATTATTATGGTAACACCCTGTATAGACATAGGTGTCCATTGAAAAGACGTAAATCGTTTTTTTTTCTCTTCTCGGGGTGGAAACGAAAAGTGACCACTTAATACTTGGCCGCACGTAGCAATGGGCAAGTTTGGCACTGGGGGCGGCGGTTATGCCGCTCCCGATCGGCCATAATTCGGTCATTACGAGCGGTCGTTGCGGGCAGTTTACAAGTTTCGCAACGGCCGAGACTCTCGTCGCACCTTCGAGGTTCACGCGCGCGCCGCAATTGATTGCCCAGGGTGGGGGGCGGCGGTCGTCGTAATTGATTTTCGTTATCTGCTACCGGGCTTGTAATAATAATTATCGGCGAGATTCGTGTAAATTGCCATGAAATTCCGGTTAAAAATTCGAGTGAAAAGCGCTCTGCTTTATCGACCTTGCGAAATGTTATGGTTTCTTCGATTTTTACTTCATATAAGAGGAAAAGTTTGCTCGGGAAGGAATATAGGATCATTCTTATACATTATAACCTAAAAACTAATATTTTTTGAGAATTTGTGTCTTTTAACGCCATCTATGTGCGTATTTCCATAGTAAACTCACACGTACACAACGCGTCTACATTTAACTCTATGTGCACTCACTGACACCAACTAAATTGTATTATATAGTACACAAAGCGCACAGCAGCGCCATCTGTTATCGAATCACAGAACTAATTATTTTCTCTTTAAAAAAGTTAAATTTATCAATTTTTTTGACTACTACTGTTGATAAATATTATTATTTACACTATCAAAATTACCTAACCTCAAAATAATATTCCCTTCACTATTTTTACATGATTTCCTCTTCGCATTATCGAAATTCTCCGCGCGTCCGCACCGCACGGGCCGAGATAAATCTGATTTAGTTTCGGTGTTATTTAGAGTGTTGCCTCCGCCCGAGGAAAAAAGCCGCCCTTCCCCCGGGAAGGGACACCAAGCACTTGAACGCACCCCGCATGCAATCTGTCCCGGTTTTATTTTGCTAACATGCGCTTTGTTGACGCTGCGTTTTTCAGTCTGAACGTCTCCAACCTGAACTCCCTCGCGACGGTCACGTTCGAGGACTTTGTCCGGCCGATTCCGGCGATGCGCGATATGCAGGACAAGCATCAGCTGATGGCGATCAAGATCATCGGCGTCGTCTACGGCTTCATCATCATGGGCATCAGTTTCGGCGTCGGGCTGCTGTCTGGTGTGATTGAGTCTTCTATGTTGGTCACTTCGGCGACGAGCGGGCCACTCTTGGGGGTGTTTGTGCTGGCGATGCTTATTCCTTGCTGCAACTGGAAGGTACGTGCTAGGCGTGTTAAATATGTAGTCAATGATGAGTTGCGACGAGTGCTTAAGTGCAGCTTTTTAAAATTCGGCGGGAAGTTGATGGAAGGGGTTGCAACTGGGGGATGAAAGCTTGAGGGAATATTCTTAGGTTGTCCCTGGTGAATTTAAATGTTTTTCGGGTGGAATATATTGAATAGTTTAAAAGTTATTAACAAAATAAGATGAAAAAAGAAAAATCGATGTTTTTGATTTATTTTAGTTTTTTGCTTGTAATTTTTTCATTTTTGTTCTTAGTATTTTCAAATTTTGGGAAAATTATCTTAATTTATTTGTCTATTTCTTACTTTTTATAAAATTAAAATATCTCTTTTAGTTTTTGAGTTACACGCAAAAAACTTATTAGTTTTTACATTTTTGTCAATATTTTTGATATATTTTAGTTTTTTGCTTGTAACTTTTACATTTTTGTACTTAGTATTTTCAAATTTTGGGAAAACTATCTTAATTTATTTCTCTATTTATTACTTTTTACAAAATTAAAATATCTCTTTTAGTTTTTGAGTTACACGCAAAAAACTTATTAGTTTTTACATTTTTGTCAATATTTTTTATATATTTTAGTTTTTTGCTTGTAACTTTTTCATTTTTGTACTTAGTATTTTCAAATTTTGAGATAATATTCTAAATTTATTTGTTTATCTATTACTTTTTACAAAATTAATTTATCACTTTTAGTTTTTGAGTTACACGAAAAAAAAAACTATTAGTTTTTACGTTTTTGTCAATATTTTGGATACATTTTAGTTTTTTGCTTGTAATTTTTTCATTTTTCTTTATAAAATTTTCAAATTATCAGAAAATCATCTAAATTTATTTACCAATCGATTACTTTTTACAAAATTAAAATATCTCAATTAGTTTTTGAGTTACAAGCAAAAAACTATCAAATTTCACATACGCGTTAAACTATAGTTACGTAATCTACAGCTAGATGGCCATAGGTAGTATTAACCTAGTGTGTCACCTCTTCCGCTAGATTTCCACCGGTAATTCTGCATTTTCGGCACACTGCCGGAATTTGTCGTTACGCCGTGGAATTCTGATGACAATACACAATATCTATGACGTAAACAGACAAAATGGCGGTCGTTTGTCTATTATTTCGTTTTATGGCAGCCGGAGGTGTGCGCATCGCGCAAATCGCTCGTAAACTCATTCGAAACATCACCGTAATCACCGCGGAAACTCAAATGTCGCGGAAAATTAAAACCTCCGCACGGAGGATTAATTTTCAAAGTCAAAAATTACAACAAGCTCAATATTACAGAAAACTGTAAAAAATATTTTTACTTTTTTGTAGGGAGCATCAACTGGTGTAGTCCTTGGACATATAATCACCCTGTGGATTACATATGGCGGTCTAACCGTTGACAAACCACCAACACAAATACTCCCTCTATCGGTGGAAGGCTGCAGCAACAGTTCCTTCAACCCACACGTAGTGAAACACGTACACGCGTGGCCAGTGAGCAGCGCTTATGAATTTATGAATCGCAGTGCGCAAGCGTACGCTGCACACCCTGCGTATAAATATCAACTAGCAAGTAATCACATCATAAACGCCACTAGCGCCCTCCCAGTGACACTGGACGCAATCACAACTACAACTACAAGTTTACCAGGCGTAGCGCCATCTACAAGGTAAAATTTTAACTATTTCTACAACAAAATCAACAATTTTTAAAATTTTAACAATTTCTAACCTATTTTATGTTTTTAGTGATCCACTAACAGCTATATACTCAATGACATACATGTACTACTCCCTGGTTGGTTGTTTCGTGACAATCTCCGTCGGTTGGTTGGTGTCCATGCTAACCCAGTCCGAGGACGACATCTATGATGAAAAACTCCTACATCCATTGGCGCGCAAAATAGCCGCCATATTCCCCGGCTCAAAACGACGCTACGCCGACAAAACACAATCATGGTCACGCAACGAGAGCGTGCGCAGTAAGAATTCACATGTGGTGCCACCTACAATCTCCCCACCGGCTACGATAACGATAGAAAACAAATCAGCGGCGTATTCACAGCACGTGCCGCTGGAGAACGAAATCAGTGAGAGTAACAACGTGTTCAATACACGATTATGAGACCTTGACAGGGTTGTTTTTTACAATTTACATACGTATGAACGCCACGCCCACTCAAAATCTGTGATCAGTTTTACTTACGAACGCATCACCCTGTATAATGTAAAATATCAGTATTTTTATATTTACACACTCGACACACACACACACACATACTAGAATCTAGCGGCTAGCACTAGACTAGACTTTTAATTAGTTTAATTATTCGATAGTTAATTTAATTAATAATTTAATTTTAGCGGACGGCAATCTCGTGATTCCTATTTATATTTATATTATACATATATATGATATTATTTTATGTTTTATCATGACTTTAATTAAAGATTTACATATGCAGAGGTTGTGTTGTGGTGGTTTAACGTAGGCAACCAACAATACATCAAAACTCATTTAAATTGAATTTTATTCATTAAAAACGTTTGAATCTTTACATTTACATAAAACAAAATCATTTTATAATGGTAATACTGTTATATTTATGTTTTAAGAGTTAAAAATGCAGTTTTTGAACAATCAGGGACTAGAACTCACAAATACAAAGGTTAAAAGCTTCCTAAAAATAGGTTAAAACATGTTTTTCAACTAATTTTCTTTGTAATTGACCGATTTTTATGGTTTTTTCATTGTTTAACGCTGAATTCAAGCAGAAAAATTGTTCCAGGTGGTTTATAGGTAGATATAGGTTAGGTTAACTTAATGTCATTGTGCGGCCATCTTTAAAAATAGGTTAAAACTGACATTTTATGCCATTTCTTTCGTAATTGACCGATTTTTATGATTTTTTCAGTGTTTAACCTTGAATTGAAGCGATAGGATTGCTCCAATAGGTTTATTGGTAGACATAGGTTAGGTTAACGGAATGTCATGGTGCTGCTACCTATAAAAATAGGTTAAAACATGTTTTTCAACTAATTTTCTTCATAATTGACCGATTTTTATGGTTTTTTCATTGTTTAACGCTGAATTCAAGCAGAAAAATTGTTCCAGGTGGTTTATAGGTAGATATAGGTTAGGTTAACTTAATGTCATTGTGCGGCCATCTTTAAAAATAGGTTAAAACTGACATTTTATGCCATTTCTTTCGTAATTGACCGATTTTTATGATTTTTTCAGTGTTTAACCTTGAATTGAAGCGATAGGATTGCTCCAATAGGTTTATTGGTAGACATAGGTTAGGTTAACGGAATGTCATGGTGCTGCTACCTATAAAAATAGGTTAAAACATGTTTTTCAACTAATTTTCTTCATAATTGACCGATTTTTATGGTTTTTTCAATGTTTAACACTGAATTCATGCGCTAGAAGTAGTATACAAATAGATATAAGTTAGGTTTACTTAATGTCACCGTGCTGCCATCTTTAAAAAGAAGTTAAAACATGTTAAAACATAAATTCAGATGGCGTTATCATCACAAATGTGTTTTTACTTTAGAGGTTTACATAAAAGCTTGGTATTTTAACGTAGGCAACCAAAATATCATAAAAACTCATATAAATCAAATTTTATTAATTAAAACCTTCAAATTCTTGGTATTTACACAAAATATAAGGCTAGAAAATCATTTTCTAATAGTAATAATGTAATATTTATATTTTAAGATCTAAATTGCAGTCTTTGACTCTTCCTGAACAATCGGAGAAGCAAAACGTAACCTCACAGTCATATATCTCACAGATACATAGGTTATAAGCTTCGGAAGCACAAATTCAGATGGCGTCACCATCGCCAATCCCTTTTCTCATTTGCTAGCTTGTCGAATCTGTGTTAGTAGTCATTTGTACAGAAATATAACTCGGTGGATCATCTTCCACTGTATGACAGTGCCCTCTGGTGTTATCCACAACAGGTTCTGATTGTAGCATGCATATTGCATGCACAGGCACAACATAAACATCAAATTCACTTTTCTCATACTGTGAAGTATTAGCACCGCCTACTGCGCTTGCGCGACGCACACTTTCATAACTAGGTGGCGCAAATAGATCATAAGCAGGAGGAGGAGTTTCTTGAATTTGAAAACTCGTCGCTTGTGATCCATGTGATGAAGATGTGGGCCGGACGGTTGTGGAGGCTGGTGGTTGGGCGGGGCCACGTACATGTAGTCTACAACACCATTCTGAGCAAGAAACAATGAGGAAGAATGCGATTAAGCCGCTAAATGACGCGATGTACCAAATTATCGACCAGGAATCATCACGTTCGGGAAATAGATCTACAAATTAAAAATTTTAGTTAGTTTTATAGTTTAGAGGTTAAAATTACTGCTATGTACCTATAGGTGGCGCTGTTGTTGTGACATCAGTGAGACGAAACAAATTATCACCGAAATCAATGTGTTTGCGGTCACTGGACCGTAGATCATTTATCATTTGCATGAACCTCGTCATTGTACGTTGTTCATCATCGTCCATATTGTCTAGAAACAAAAAAAACATTTTTATCAATTTATTCATCAAACACATTGTATGAATTAAAAAATACACGGACACATTGTATATTTCAAAACATCTAGTATTTTAGTTCTGAAAGTCACCGCGTGGTGTCGCTAGTAGTGTCAACCGATAGTAAAACCTAAACCTGCACAAACACGTTTTGTTTATAGTATTTACATAGTCGTGTTGTGTTGCAGCAGCGTGGTCGCCAGTTCTGACCAGTTGACTAATTAGCAATTTGTGTTCGTGTGTAATTGATTTCCAGTGCCACACACTGCCACTCAGCTGTGCACACTTTAAAACGTAAGTAATGAATGTTTATTATCGTATTGTTTAAACATTTGATTTGGTTGCGCTGGGTATTTATCAAAATGTAAACTTAAGTAGACTAGAATTTGCATCTGCGTCAATGCGGCGAGAGAACACAGCTCCTCGCGAGATTTTATCGCTTTTTATTATCGCCGCGAGATTATACGCGCTACGCGCACAAAAATTCGTTTTATCGTTGGGCATTTGTTTGTTGATGCGGTGGAATACTCGAAATCATCGCATATTGTATTAATTGTTCTATAAATAGATAGATGGGTTGAGTTGGGGTAATGTCATGGTGCTGCCATCTATAAAAAGAGGTTAAAACATGTTTTTCAATTAATTTTCTTTGTAATTGAGCGATTTTTAAGGTTTTTTCATTTTTTAAGGCTGAATTCAAGCAGAAAAATTGTTCCAGTAGGTTTATAGGTAGATATAGGTTAGGTTGACGTAATGTCATGGTGCTGCCATCTATAAAATAGGTTAAAACTTGTTTTTCAACTAATTTTCTTTGTATTTGACCGATTTTTAGGGTTTTTTCATTGTTTAACGCTGAATTCAAGCAGAAAAATTGCTCCAGGTGGTTTATAGGTAGATATAGGTTAGGTTGACGTAATGTCATGGTGCTGCCATCTATAAAAATAGGTTAAAACTTGTTTGTTAACTAATTTTCTTTGTAATTGACCGATTTTTAGGGTTTTTTCATTGTTTAACGTTGAATTCAAGCAGAAAAATTGCTCCAGTTGGTTAATAGGTAGATATAGGTTAGGTTGACGTAATGTCATGGTGCTGCCATCTATAAAAATAGGTTAAAACATGTTTTTCCACTAATTTTCTTTGGAATTGATTGATTTTACTGTTTTTCATTGTTTAACGCTGAATTTTAGTAGAAAAATGGCTCCAGTAGGTTTATAGGTGGATATAGGTTAGGTTGACGTAATGTCATGGTGCTGCCATCTATAAAAATAGGTTAACACGTGTTTTTCAACTAATTTTCTTTGTAATTGACCGATTTTAAGTGTTTTTCATTGTTTAACGCTGAATTCAAGCAGAAAAATTGTTCCAGTAGGTTTATAGGTAGATATTGGTTAAGTTAGCTTGATGTCATTGTGCTGCCACCTTTAAAAATAGGTTAGAACTGACATTTTATGTCATTTCTTTCATAATTGACCGATTTTTATGATTTTTTCAATGTTTAACTCTGAATTTAAGCACAAGAATTGCTCCAATAGGTTTATAGGTAGATATAGGTTAGGTTAACGTAATGTCATGGTGCTGCCACCTATAAAAATAGGTTAAAACATGTTTTTCAACTAATTTTCTTCATAATTGACCGATTTTTATGTTTTTCAATGTTTAACACTGAATTCATGCACTAAAAGTGCTAAAATAGGTTTACAAATAGATATAGGTTAGGTTAACTTAATGTCACCGTGCTGCCATCTTTAAAAATAGGTTAAAACATGTTTTTCACCTAATTTCCTTCGTATTTAACCGATTTTTATGTTTTTTTCAACGTACAACCTTGAATTTAATCTAAACTCATCAAATAGTAAAGTTTTAGCACCGAAATTAAAGTTTAACACACCTTTCCCGTACACATTAATAGCGTACACCTGTTATCGCATTATCGGCGGCGTTTTGTCAAAAATGCATGACATTGTTGCTTGCACAATGATAACGAAAGCAAATGTCACCCACACCTAGCATATTTTGTTTGACTTGCGACTATGTATAAACAAATCGAGCGCCATTTTGGAATTCGCCGCTCGCACGGAATATTACACATAAATTACATATTCGAATAATATATTTAATTATGCGCGGTGAAATTTTTCCGCGAAACGATGATAAACGATTCGTTTTCACATAAGTGAAGTGAATTAACCGGTAAAAATTTCAACTTTGAAACTATCGACGCGATTGCGATAAGCATAATCTCGATATCTCAAATGTTGCTGTAAATTATTGATTTTTAACGCAATCAGGACGGTTTGACGTCAATTTGTTTCCTGTAATATTTATTTTAAGCACTTGATGCGCGAGAAAATAATTTAATTAAGACGGCTCACGTTAAGCCACGTGAATGGTGAATTTAATTCACTATCACTCGAGTAATTGTTTTTTATTTTATTTTTGTGTTTTTTACTTAGCGTAAAACGCCTGGCATTACTTAAATGACTAAAGTAAACACTTTTTGCTTTTATAATAATCGAATTATGCATATGCGGCGACGCAACGCGTAAACTAAACAAAAGAAAGCAAAACAATCGAGGAATAAACAAAAGAAAAACGAAAATGTTGTTAATTTATTAATTAATGTTAAATTGCGCATGAAATTTGCGTGTTTTTCATTTTTATTTGTTTTGTTTTTATGTAATTTTGCTTTAGTTGAGGTAACTACGTGTGGGGGCGCTGATATTCCACGTCAGCCATCTTAGAATTCCAGCTGATAGTCAATTATACGTAAAATCAATGTTTTTTGATTATTTTCGAATAATAAACCATAAAAAAGCGTGAAAATGTTGATAATTTATTAATTATCGTTAAATTTTGCTTGAAAAATGCGTTTTTTGCAATTATTTCGTCTTGATTTGACGCAATAACACTGTAGTTTTGGTAACTGTTTGTGGGGGCGCTGATAGACCACGTCAGCCATCTTAGAATTCCAGCTGATAGTCAATTATACGTAAAATCAATGTTTTTCTTTACTATTTTCGGTAGTTTTGCGTTTTTTGCACTTATTTCGTCTTTATTTGACGTAATAACGCTGTAGTTTTGGTAACTGTTTGTGGGGGCGCTGATAGACCACGTCAGCCATCTTAGAATTCCAGCTGATAGTCAATTATACGTAAAATCAATGTTTTTCTTTACTATTTTCGGTAGTTTTGCGTTTTTTGCAATTATTTCGTCTTTATTTGACGTAATATCGCTGTAGTTTTGGTAACTGTTTGTGGGGGCGCTGATAGACCACGTCAGCCATCTTAGAATTCCAGCTGATAGCCAATAATACGTAAAATCAATGTTTTTCTTTACTATTTTTGGTAGTTTTGCGTTTTTACAATTATTTCGCTTTGTTTTGACGTAATATCACTGTAGTTTTGTAAACTGCGTGTGGGGGCGCTGATGCACCACGTCAGCCATCTTAGAAAACCAGCTGACATTGAATTTACACCTAAATTCAATGTTTTTTCACAATTTTCACGTAAAATAAGTCAAAAAACAATAAAAACAGCACAATAAATTAATTTAATTGTTATTTAAACAATATTTGACCGAATTTCCTTCCCCGAATTCACACAAACCAAATATTTGTAAACATGTCAAGCCAATATTTTTCACCGCTGGGTTTTTCCTTCTCGGAATGCGTTGTTTTTCAGTATTTTTACACGCACGTGTGCAGCAACAATTTCCCAAGGCGTGTGCGTACGTGGCTACGAACAAAAGAAAAACAGCGTCTGCGTAATAAGTTAATTAATTAATTAACCGCCTGTTTGAATGTTGAATTGAATTACTTTAATGCGCACACCGCGCGCGCGGCTTTTAGCGATAAACACTTCAATGTCACCTGGCTGGCTTTCTGTCATCGTAAACTTCCTACATAAAACCACTAACGCCAAATTTTCATATAAATCAAATCATTTTTTGCTTTCTTACGCGCCGGTTGAATTTGAGTCAAATTAATTGAACTGATTGAGTCCAGTTGACTTAGTAATGTGATGTAATCTCAAGTTGAACTTTAAAAACCGAAGAAAAAACTGCGCTATTGACTTAAGTCGAGTTAGAGTTAAGTTGTGCCTCGGTGGGCGTTTATTTTTTGCACTTTGAAGGCCAATGCCTTTACTTTTTGACGGTTTTATGTCCTGGCAACAGGTTAAGTCAAACAAAACCGAAAGAAACAAGAAAAAATCAAACAAAAAATTGTTTTTTGTTATACTCACCCATATTTATAAAAAAATGAAGTAATATTCCAAAATATTAATTGTTTTGCACGTTTTTTTATTAATTTATTAATAATTTGTTAATTTTTGCACAAATTTAACCAAAAACGATTTATTTAATTTGTTTTAACTTGTTTTAACATTTCAACTTCACTATTTGATGTCAATTGATGTATTCTGTGGGTTATTTGATGATTTATAGCGATTTCTTGCGATTTATTGCACAATCCATGTAAAATTACGTTTTTTTCGTATTAACTGTTTATTCCTCTCGTTTTAGGTAATTAGATGACTAAATATCGGCGGGGATTTGTTCGCGCACCGCACCGTTCGGTTTCCACGCTCTATGTGCGCGTTGTGCGCCTCCCAGTGCGAGAATCAAGCGTGAAACAATCATTTACAACCGCGTTTCACCTTCCACTCCATTCCGCATCAAGTGAATTTGAAACAAGCGCGCTGTGTGTGCACAGCATGGGCAGGGTTAGTGTATATCTGGTTGCCTACCTCAAAGTTCCTTCAACTGTTTTAAACATCACTCTTGATAATATAAGAATTGTCGCTTTTTGTATGCATGTTATATAGGAGTATATGACAATACTAATGATAAATTGTGTTTTTCCTGCTGGCGCGGCTGATGAGGGGGAGAATTTCGACCGCCTGCAGACAAATTAATCTGGCGCGGGTCTAGGGAGCCGCCAGCAGCCTCCGGAGGCCTCCGGCGTAGCGTGACTCACACGACGCATCGACTTTTCCACTCGCCAAAGAAAAAAACTCGCGTAACGCACGTACAACGACCCGAAATTGATGGCGTATGGCGACATGGCGACGGTCGCAGGTGAGTGCCTAGATATCTTAAAATAACCCACGACATCAGCAATCAATTGATTCCAATCGAATAGGACACGAGTCGTCATAATTAGTTCAATAAAACATGACTTCACATCAATTACAGCTAAAAATAAGCGTAAAACAGTGTAATCATACACAACCAACACATATTTTCATTCTGTCGAAGAATTTACATTGATTAACATCAAATTCTTTGTTTTTTTCAGAGAAAACATTAATCAGCAGAGTCTAGCATCATAATAGGTAAGAATAAAACGTTTTTTCTTGTATATTTGATAATAATTTATAGTTTTTCTTATATTTTAAGGCCAATAATGCACTGTGGATAGTCGAAGACTAAGTTTTGTGTTACAAAACTTATAGTTTCTCATAAAATCACAAATTAAGTAGTGAAAAATGACGAAACCGCCTAACGAAAACCTCCCAACGGTGAAACTCGTCGTCGTTGGCGATGGCGGCGTGGGAAAAGAGCGCCATTACGATACAATTCTTTCAAAAACTCTTCGTCACCGATTATGATCCGACGATAGAAGACTCCTATCTGCAACACGTCGAAGTTGATGGCCAATGGTGCATACTAGACGGTAAAATATTAAAAACTAACAAATTACATCCTAAAACCTTTTTTTACATTTTTAGTGTTAGATACAGCTGGTCAAGAGGAATTCAGCGCTATGCGTGAACAATACATGCGCAAAGGCGACGGTTTCCTGCTTGTTTACTCCGTCACAGATAAAAACAGCTACGAGAACATCGTGCACTTTCACACGCAGATCCTGCGCGTGAAAGATCGCGATGTTTATCCCATGCTGTTAGTCGCCAATAAAGTCGATTTGGTTCATTTGCGGAAAGTGACAGAGGAACAAGGCAGAGAACTTGCGCATAAGCTTGGTATTCCGTACATAGAAACCAGTGCAAAGGATCCACCGCTTAATATCGACGCAACATTTCATGAGGTTAGTTAACATGTCAAAAAATTAGGTTATGTTGTGTTATAATGTGTGGTATGTCATTCAGGTGGTGAGAATCATTCGTAATCAGCCGCAGTCGAAGGAACGCCGACGTAACACACGCCTCAAGGACCTCAAAAAGAAGCTGCAGAAATGCACGATCATCTAGTAAGCATGCGCGTTTTTGCGCAACAAGTCAAGCCAAAGAAACAATTTGACTGTCGGTCGGTTCACCGCGAATCTAAACAGTAAGGTTATAAGTGTGGTCAATGTTTAATACTAGTCGCTGATGTGTAGATGGCGCTGCGGTCGCGGGGTGTCAGGATGCTCAAGGTTAAAACGTAAGTCATAACCTAACTGCGTTTTGCAACTTTTTAAAAACACGAAACAACCAAACATCGACCGACAATAAGCAGTTTTGTTGCCATGGTCGCAGAAACAATTTCAATCAATTGCTCATTCATTTTCCACACAAAAGTAAAAAATCATCGAAAGCGAAGCAAAAAAACACTAAGTATTATTTATCTTACGGTAGGCAAACCAATATACAACAACGCATAATTTTGTGATTGAAGACAAGAGAAACAAAGATATTTCATGTTATATATTTATTTATATAATCTATTATGATATTTTAAGGTTAGAGCGTGTAGTGTGTACGTTTACCAAAGGCCTAACCAAAACGAAAACGATACTTGTATGTCAAATGCAAAAAATATACGAATCGTACCACATAATCAAGAAAAAAGAATCATCTAAGAGGTAACAGCGGCCATATTAGTGACCGTATCGATAGAAAAACACCGACAAGTACACGCTGTGACTGGACATTCCGAATGTTCCCTGAAACAGAACCAGAATTAGATTTAATTTGTATAGTATTAGGTTATAGTTTACTTGAACCAATGTGTCATATGTGACGCATGTCCGCCATGACGACATGTTTGACACCACGTGAACCACCCGGAGAAATCCGACAGCTTGTTACTGTCAGCTTCGGCTGCGTCCGGCACACCAGTCGTCGTTCCCATATGCATCAGACAAATCACACAGCGCGGCAGAGGTTTACGACAGTTCGGACAAGATGACAACTAAAATGACAATTTAAAGGTTAGTTACAATTTTCACCACAAAATTTAACTGTTTTACATACTTTTAACTTATTTGCAGTCCCACCCATGCGTGGATATTGTGCCCTGCCACGATTAGCCTGCATGTACGCACTTATACTCTTCCCGCAAAAGTTACACGAGACATGAACCTGTTGCGGTGGTTTATCGTTTGAATTCTGTCCGGACAACATGATGTCAAACAGCGCCCTCTGGTTCCACAACTGCCACGAATCCAACAGATTCCGGTAACCTGTTATCCAATCCGCTACCTCCGCTAACAAATCCGCGTTAAATGCGTGCACGGCGATCAACACCGTCGATTGAATATCACCAGTGAGATCCAAATATCGCTGCAGAAGCCGTGCGCCATCTTGACTGCTTCCAGTGAGCAGCATACCATTCAAGTCTCCATCTTGGATGAGTTTCGAGGTTAGTGACTTTAAATATTCATACAATTTATGATCGGATAAAAATGTGCACGCGAACGCAACACGATCCTCGACCAGAATCACATCATCGTGTAAAATGGCGTCGTAGTTGTAATTCTCAGCGGTGAGGAAGGCGAACATGGCGCGCAGATACGGATCGGTGAGTTTGAACTTTGGGCATGAACAGAATTGTCGCCACATGCTGTTTTTATCATCGGAGAAACCCGCCAGCGCCATTGCTACGACATTGAAGTGTTCGTATTGCTCACCATTGGCGGTTAGGATTTCAATCGCCGAGCGTAGTTTGAGGTTAAACACAGCTATGGCTGCAGCACGCGTTGGGCATTTTGCTGCGATCAATTGATCGACAATCGTGCCTTGTTTAAGATCTTTGTTGAAGTTCCATCCGCATAGTTGCAGCGCTTTCGATCTATCTTCGTGTCTACACATAAAACAACAAAAAGTAAGTAATTATAGGTTAAAATTTAAATTTCATCGATATAACCTGTAAATTTTAACCGGCGTCAACGTAGTATTATTCCCCATATCCAAAATGGTGGTCGGTAACATTTCGGATTTATTCGAAGCGCTTTCCAGTTTTAAAACATCTTTTATCCCAGGATGTTTCCCGGTTTGTCCACGTATTAACCCCTCTTCTACCAGGCGTTGACTCAACGCTAACCAATTCCAAACATTAACCAACATATCCTCCTCGATAAACATAGCATTTTTAGCTAAGTCCTGTTCCAATCCATAACCTTTAATAGTTCTTTCCTTCATTTTCTCTGAGATATCATCGATATCCGCGTGGAATTTACTCCGTTTGCTTATATTCTTCAACTTTTTTCTGCCATGCGTCCAAATGAGGTTAGAATTCGGCGCCCAGTTTAATGTAATGCGGTCGAATACAGTGTAATCCAACAATGTATTCGTTGTAGATATAGTTAACAGTCGGTATTCATCCGATGGATGCCATGCGAATGATGATAGATTCGGGGTAGTTTTAAGGCGGATTTCGCGTTCCAAAACGGACGGTTCCACTTCATCATTACCGATAACAGAGTGTTGCACACCGTAAAGATGGATTATATTGGAATCTTTGTGTAGAGCAGCTAGGAGATCAGTTTTCGTCGGACACCAGGATATTTTCAACAGAGGGCGCGCCGATGGTAAGGTTATGATGGGTTTTTCGAAGTTTCGCGTATCCCAGACTGAGATTTGGTTCTCAGCGAATGAGGCTAAATGCTGGTCATTGTTTGGTTTCACAGTCACACCGTAAACTGCCTTCGTGAAGGTAGAATTTGCAAATTTCGTCGTATCTTAAAAAAGAAAAGAATTAACCTCACTTAAAGGAACATAACCTAACAATACCTCTAAAATCAATGATTTTGATGCTTTTCATATTCATGCCTGCAGCTAGCAGACGACTGTTGCTCTGGAACCATCCAATACTATGCGCGGATTCTGAAAGTCCAAATTCGCTAACGCAAGCAGCACGATTGCTGTAACTCTGTTCGCTGATGGAGACTTTATCACTGTAGTTTTACGACATCCCAGAGGAGGATGCAGTGGTCTGAGCGGTGTTTTTCAAACCCGCCGGCGAGTTTATTGTCGAGAGGATTCCACGCGACGCTGTTACATGCACGTGAGAATCGAGGACCTAAAATATTTAATTTTTTAAAGTTTTTTATATAAATTTGATTGTTTATTAACATACCAACTTCTTTAATATTAGGTGTCTGATCATAGACATTACCAATGCTGGTAATGCTGATTTTACCACTTGATTGACCCAAAGCAAGCAGGATTTCATTCTCGGAGTGTGAGTTGACATCAAGACACTTTACAAAATAGGAATGTGGAATGCTGCCTAGTAAATTGGCGCCTGTAGTGTCGGATAAGCGAATATCTGTAAGATAATTTATTTTAATATTGGTTTTTATTGTTTTGGAGTTGATTTTACTAGGGGATTGTCCATCAGTGATGTTTTCCACTTGATAAAGGCATAATTCTGATCCGCATGTGATGAAACGGTCGCCACTTGGCGCCCATTGTATGTCTAATTTTCCAGACATGCTTTTTTGTGAGTTTTAGAACATTTTAACTGATAAATGCTTAGTTTTTGATGGAATTATTTAATATTATCAGTATTTCGGGAGGTTATGTTTACAAAATAGAGAAAGTGACATGATGCAAATGCAATACATTTTTGTAATTGTTGCAAGATAATTTTATTGTATTGCGATTGGTAATGCAGTTTTTAAAGACTTAAATTGTAGTTTTAAGTAATTTGCATTTCATTTTTTATTTACTTGTATTGCTAATACAAGTTTATAAAAATTTAATTCAAATGTTTTTAGTTGCGTGCAACGCCACGACACGTCGCATTCCTGCCACAAATTTCATTGGTGGGAGTTGGAGTTGATCAGGTTCGGGTAATTGGACTGGCGGCTAGCGGAATTAATCCAAGTTTTATGCAAATACGCACGCAATATTGCAGATACATAAACTTCCGGAAACTACCATGGTAATACCTTATATTCTAATGATCATCAAGCCTCCTTATCATTCATAACAAACATATTGTAATTTTTATATCTTAGAAGTTTCAGGTTATGTGGGACGCTTGTTTTTGAGTTTTTCGCTTAAAACTCGTATAATATCTGCATTTTCAAGCGAAAAACACATAAACCAGCCAAAATGTCCAAGCGCCATGTGGAGGACAGCTCCAGCGGGCAGCCGCCCATCAAAAAGATCCATTTTGAGCCACATCTTATTGGCCCAGTGTCAACCCTTGAAGAAATGGACATAAAAGTCCTACAATTCCAGAATAAAAAGCTTGCACAGGTAATAACCACATAAAAAACATTAATAACAATAAATTTTAATAATTTGTCAACGCATTCATAGAGAATTGAGCAAAGATTAAGATGTGAGTCAGAACTTCGACAAAGAATTGAGCAGTTAGAAAAACGTCAAACACAAGACGACGCAGTATTAAACGTCGTCAATCGTTACTGGAATCAACTCAACGAGGACATTCGCATACTCCTACAACGTTTTGACGCGGAAACTGCAGACGAATCAGAAAATAAGAACGAAAATGAAGCAACCACTTCGTTTCTCATGCAATTATCCACTTGGGATAAAGAAGAACTGGATGATAAGCTGGCGAACCGCGTGCAGGTGTCCAAACGTGCCGTGGCGAAAGTCATTCAAGCATTCGATCGTCTCATGCAGCGTAATGAGAAGATAACGCTTGCTTTGAAAGGCGAATTGGAAGGACAAGACGCTCCTAGCGTTGATGAAGTCATTCGTGATTCGAACGTTCAGCTACAGAACGAGAATCATCAACTGCAGTCGGTGCTCACTGGGTTACAGGAGAAATATCACACGAATAGTTTGAAAATGTCTGAGTTACGAGATTCTGTTACTGGGAAAGAGACTGAAATTGCCGAGTTGAAGAATCAAATCGATGATTTACAGTATGATTTGGATAAAGTAAGGATTCGTAATGATAAGTTGGAGAATCATTTGGGTGAGGCCATTGAAAAGTTGAAAGTTTATCATCACATGCACGGAGATCCGGAGAAGAGCAGCGATTCCAGCGGGAAGACTAAAGTTGTTACAAGTAGTGTAACACAGGCTAAGATTGAGGATATGGTGAAGGATGTTGAAGAATGGAGGGAGTTGGCGAATAATCGTCTGCAGGAGTTGGAGAAGTTGCATTCCACACATCGGGAGACACTTAAAGAAGTTGAGAAACTTAAAATGGATGTGAGTATATAAATTTTATAATAAAAACTTTTAAAAATTTGTTTAATGTTTAATTTAGATTCGACAACTTCCCGAGAGTGTAATTGTGGAGACCACAGAGTATAAATGTCTGCAATCGCAGTTTTCCGTACTTTACAACGAGAGTATGCAGTTGAAGACGCAGCTTGATGAAGCCAGACAACAATTGCAGACTAGCAAGAACGCGCATTTACGAAATATTGAAGTTATGGAGGTAAATTATTAAATTTTAATGTTTAAAGAAAATTAATTTAATTTTTTGTTACTAGAGTGAAGAATTAATGGGTCAGAAAAAACTTCGACAGGAAGTAATGCAGCTGGAAGATGTCCTTGCGCAGTTACGCAAAGAATACGAAATGTTACGTATTGAATTCGAGCAGAACTTAGCCGCGAACGAACAAACCGGGCCGATAAATCGTGAAATGCGCCATCTTATTACTTCTCTGCAGAATAACACCACACAATTGAAGGGAGAAGTACAGCGTTACAAGCGGAAATATAAAGAAGCAAACAGTGAGTTGCCAAAGGTCCGGAAAGAAGTTGAAGAACTGCAAGGTAAGGTAGATCAAATGGCGGCTTTGCAAGATTCCAAGGAGCATGTAAAGACTGAGGCTGTGAAGGAAGAAGAGCGACAAGCAGATAATACGCCGATTAAAGACGAAGGCTCCAGTACTCCTGCATGCAAAAAGAAGAAGATGAAAGTGAACAGACTGAGGAGCAAGGTGATAAAGCAGCGGAAGGGGAAGGATCACCAGGTAAAGGTAAAGATATTAAACAAGAAAAGGGCGGGATGGTTAAAAAGGAACCGACTGTGAAGACAGAAAAGGATCATCGTGAAGCACAGCGGGCCAAAGAGGCGAAAATCAACGAGTCTGAGATGATGCGTGATTTACGCGCACAATTAAAGTAATTATTAAAAAAAAATACTAAAAATTATGTTTTTTATGTTATTATTAATTTTGTAGGAAAGCTTTAAACGACGCGAAAGAAATGAAACTCCTTTTGGATATGTACAAAGGAGTTCCAAAGGAGCAACGTGACAAAGTCCAACTCATGGCGACCGAAAAGAAACTCCGCGCTGAATTGGAAGACCTCAAACAACAAATGAAAAAGGTACAGGATTCCAAACGTGATGATCGTAAGAAACTCGCCGATGACGAGGCATTGCGTAAAATCAAACAACTTGAAGAGCAGAAATACGAGCTACAGAAACAAGTGGCAAGTCAAAAACCACAGGATGGTAATTGGCAAGGACATCCGGGACACCCGCACAATGTTATACATCAACTACGACCGTTTGTTGGATCACAAGAAGAGGAAGCTCTGCTTAATGAAATGGAAGTCACTGGACAGGCGTTTGAGGATATGCAGGAACAAAACTCGCGACTGATTCAACAACTGCGTGAAAAAGACGACGCTAATTTTAAACTGATGACGGAACGTATTAAATCCAATCAATTGCATAAACTTGCCCGAGAGGAAAAGGATGTGATGAAGGAACAAGTCTCCACTTTGACTACACAAGTGGAATCGGCGAATACTGTCGTGCGTAAGTTGGAAGAGAAAGAAAGAATACTTCAGAATACTCTAGCGACTGTTGAGAAGGAATTAGCGTTAAGGCAACAGGCGATGGAGATGCACAAGCGTAAGGCGATTGAGTCTGCGCAGAGTGCAGCCGATTTAAAACTCCATCTTGAAAAGTATCACGCGCAGATGAAGGAAGCGCAGCAGGTTGTTGCGGAAAAGACCAGCTCACTGGAAGCGGAAGCTTATAAAACTAAGCGGTTGCAAGAAGAGATTGCGCAGTTGAAGCGTAAGGCAGAACGCATGAAAAAGATGGAGATTTCCGGTACGACTCTGGATGAGGTAATGATGGAAGAGATTCGCGAGTACAAGGAGACACTGACTTGTCCTTCGTGCAAGGTAAAACGGAAGGATGCGGTGCTCTCGAAGTGTTTCCACGTGTTTTGCTACGATTGTCTCAAGACACGTTACGAAACGCGGCAGAGAAAATGTCCGAAATGCAATTGCGCCTTTGGGGCGAATGACTATCATAGACTCTATTTATCGAATTAATTTTTTATTGTTTAGGTTAGGTTAGGTTGTAGGCGTGTCTTTTCAACAGTTTTATTTTAGTGAGTAATTCTAAGGGTACGAACTGTGGTTTGAATTAAATTCCATGTAAACATGTATAAACAATCTTCACATCATACATCATTTCACATTTCCTGTGTACTACCCGAAGAGAGTGGAGGGAGGAGCCTAGAGAGCTGCGACTACCAAGGTAGGGTTTCGTCGCCATTGTGTATGTAGTCACCGGGTTCTAGTTATGTTTTTGTTTAATATTATTAGTTCTAGTATGGCTTTTGCGGCTTATATTCCACGAGCAGATATTACTGCGTCGTCGTAGCGGACAAGGATATTAAAGATTTGTCTTTTTTTCTTCCAACGCGCTTATCTGTATTTGTGTGCGGGCCAGTGTTTATCGCAGAGCGCCGCGCGCGGTTGCTGCGTTCAATGTACGTTTTCGTGCTTAGTTCAATTTCGTGCGTCAGTAAATGCGGATGTATTCCTCGTGCTTCGTTTGGTTTCTTCAGTATTTAATTGGGTTAATTGCGGTATATTTGATCGGACCCGGACTCCGACTTCTGTTTTGTGATAATAATTGCCTAAAGATTGTTGCCTCTCCAACTGCAGGTTTGTTTATCCCTTGGGAAACCTACGAAAATGCACTTTTTGTGTTTTTGGATGTCGAATTTTTGCTGTTTTTGGTGTCTAGCGGCCGAACCTGACGTCGTAGGACCATGTTTATTTCACCAAATTGTAAGTACTAAAATTCTCTATCATTTACGTATATAACATGTGGGTTTATCCCTTAGGAAACCTACGAAAATGCCCATTTTGTATTTTTGGTTTTTTAATTTTTGCAGTTTTAGGTGTCTAGCGGCCGAACCTGATAACGTAGGACAACGTTTTTTTCACCAAATTGTAGGTATCATTCTCTATCATTTAAGTATTTAAAATGTGGGTTTATCCCTTGGGAAACCTACGAAAATGCCCTTTTTGTGTTTTTGTTTTCTAACTTTTGCTGTTTTAGGTGTCTAGCGGCCGAACCTGATGACGTAGGACAACGTTTTTTCACCAAATTGTGGTGGTGGGTACTAAAATTCTCATCATTTAAGTATTTAAATGTGGGTTTATCCTGAAACCTACGAAAACCTCCTTTTGTGTTTTGCTTTCAATTTTGCTGTTTTAGGGTCTAGCGGCCGAACCTGATGACGTAGGACAACGTTTTTTCACCAAATTGTGGTGGTACTAAAATTCCCTCTATCATTTTGTATTTAACATGTGGTTTATCCCTGAGAAACCTACGAAAATGCCTCCTCTTTTTTGTATTTTGGTTTTTTTAATTTTTGTTGTTTTAGGTGTCTAGGGGCGGCTGAACTCATATACGCAGGGATGAACGTTTTTCACCAAATTGTAGGTACTTAAAATTCTCTATCATTTAAGTATTTAAAATGTGGGTTTATCCCGGGAAACCTACGAAACTATCCTTTTGTGTTTTTGTTTTCTAATTTTTTGCTGGTTTTAGGGTCTAGCGGCCGAACCTGATGACGTAGGACAAACGTTTTTTCACCACCAAATTGTAGGTACTAAAATTCTATCATTTACGTATATAACATGTGGTTTATCCCTTTGAGTTCCACGAAAATGCCCTTTTTGTATTTTTTGGTTTTTAATTTTTGCAAGCAGTTTTAGTGTCTAGCGGCTTTCAACCTATAACGTAGGACAACGTTTTTTCACCAAATTGTAGGTATCAATTTCTATCATTTAAGTATTTTAAAATGTGGGCTTCATCCCTTGGGAAACGCATGAAAATGCCCTTTTGTGTTTCTTTTGTTTTCTAATTTTTGCTGTTTTAGGGTTCCAGCGGCCGAACCTGATGACGTAGGACAACGTTTTTTCACCAAAATTGTAAGTGTACCTAAAATTCTCTACCATCTACGTGCATATAACATGTGGGTTTATCCCTTGGGAAACCTACGAAAATGCCCTTTTTGTGTTTTTGTTGTCTAATTTTTGCTGTTTTAGGTGTCTAGCGGCCGAACCAGGCACCGTAGGACAACGTTTATTTCAACAAATTGTAGGTACTAAAATTCTCTTTCATTTACGTATATAACATGTGGGTTTATCCCTTGGGAAACCTACGAAAATGCCCTTTTTGTGTTTTTGTTTTCTAATGTTTGCAGTTTTAGGTGTCTAGCGGCCGAACCTGATAACGTAGGACAACCGTTTTTTCACCAAATTGTAGGTAAGGTATCATTCTCTCATCATTTAAGTATTTAAAATGGGTTTATCCCTTTGGGAAACCTACGAAAAATGCCCTTTTGTATGTTTTTGTTTCTAATTTTTTGCTGTTTTAGGTGTCTATGGCCGAACCTGATGACGTAGGACAACGTTTTTTCACCTCAAATTGTAGGTACTAAATTCTCTATCATCTACGTATATAACACATGTGGTTTATCCCTTTGGGGAAACCTAAGTACGAAAATGCCCTTTTGTGTTTCTTTTTGTTTCTAATGTTTGCTGTTTTAGGTGTCTAGCGGCCGAACCAGGCACCGTAGGACAACGTTTCTATTTCAACAAATTGTGTGCGTACTAAAATCTCTCTTTCATTTACGTATATAACATGTGGGTTTATCCCTGGGAAACCTACGAAAAATGCCCCTTTGTGTTTTTGTTTCTAATGTTTGCTGTTTTAGGTGTGTCTACCGGCTGAACCAGGCACCGTAGGACAACGTTTTTCTATCAAATTGCAGGTACTAAAATTTCTCTTCATTTACGCATATAACATGTATTAACCTTGAGAAAACCTACAAAATTAAAACAAAAGTGATTATTTAATTGCTTCAAATCTCATACTTTCTGTTATTGCGTTGTTGTTTTCAATACACAACATCGATTTTTGCTTCTCTAACTCTGGGTCGCTTATCAATTCTCGTTCTTGTTTAGTCCGGCTTAGTCGTTCGTGCGCCGTGGTGTTGTGTGCACGTGTTTTGTTCTTAATCAACTTCGCATATTTGTTAGCGTTACTAAAGATCTTACCCGTAATTAATCTAGAATTTTGTAATTAAATCCTTTAGTAATAACACACCAGTGTGGTGGTTGTTTGTAGGACGTGCGTGGTGACCATCGGATAAGGATGTTCGCGTGGCTATATTTATTGTTCAGGTATTAAATGTATGTGTTATAAAAACTTGTCCAAAATGTTCTAACTGTTGATTATTTTAATTTTTAAAAATGTATCTACTATTATTGTTCTCAATAAAACATAATGTAAAATTACAATCTTATTCATATTACTTTATGGTATCCTCTTTGTCGTTTTCAGTATTGACATCTTAAGTGCAACATAGTTGAGTTGTGTTGTTGTTTTTAAAAAGTTGAATGAAGAAGAAACATAAATAGAAGAATCAAATATTAATAACAAAAACACTCGGTGGTCGAGTGGCATGCGCACCTGCTAGCATGCTAGGCAGACACGGATCGAGCCCCAGGTATGGGGAGGCATTTTTCTCAAATATAAAAATAACAGGTGAAATTTGCTGCATATAAATTGCAAACGAAATATAAGAGAAATTGAAATACAAGTGAAGGCAATATGAGAAGCAAATGAAGTAGGTAGAGAAACGAGAACAGAGAAATAGAAGGAGAAGAAGAAGAGTAGTAGAGGCAGAAGGAAGAGTAGAGAAGATAGGAGAAAGAGAACAGAGTGCATGAGATTTTTAAATTTTTTGGCACGTGTCGTTATATGTCTATTTGTCGATCTCCCAGATACCTCCGGCGCTCTGGGTCGATCGCCCACCGCTTCGATGCGTCCATTGCTCCCTGGCCCAACCTACAGCTACGATGTCTCTGCGCTTCATCCCCGAAACATCAGGCATATCAACACTCTGGTGTGATCACCCCCAGAGAGAGGTGGAACTCCTCTTGCGCGACAATCCTTATGTCTTGTAATATTTCTAAAGTTTTAAGTCGCCTCAAGAGAGGTGACACTTAAAAATATTTTCTTCCTACCAGTTCTGACCTGCAGCTGAAATGAGAGAAGGAGCACAATAAAATCACACAGGATACCTTTAACAATTTTGCTAGTGATCATCCCCGAGAGAGGGAAACCTCTTAGAGACCTGTTCTGAAATGGCTAGAAGAGTACACAAATCAAAAGAAGTCAATATATTTTACTATTTCTTTATTATTAACAATAGAATACAAGTTTATATTTTACAAGTCAACAAAATACTCGTACATGTCGCCATATTGAAACAGGACTTACGACTGTACGCCATATGCAGCGCTGGCACTCTGCAAAAATACCGGATAAAAGAAATTAGAAATAGACCATTTTCATGGAGTGAAAATGGGAACAAATACAGGGTGTTACAAATAGAAAATTCAAAGTAAAGAAGAAAAACTCTAAAAACAACAACTGAAGCTAAATTTTCACGGACAACAAGAAAACAAATATACAGGAAAAGGCTGAAAAGGAAATTACTACATCACAAAAAGAAAATCAATAGCAATAAAAAGAAAAATAGTCGGGAATACAAATTTAGGAAAACTTATATAATAGGAAATCAAGAAAACAAATATACAGGGTGATAAACAGGAATTTTAAATTTAAAAATAAATAAAATACAAAGTTTAAGTAGAAAAACGACTCCAGAAAACGACAAATTTTGCTCGCTTTTTTCACTAGAAATGCAAGCAAAAGTAGAAATTATAGGCAGTGATACAAGAAGAAAATTGCTACATTTTACAAATATATTACAAAATATTTTATTAAAATATATTACTTCCTCAATAATTAATTTCCCCAAACTACGAAAATACGTTAAAAGAGCCGGTCGATTTATAAAATAAAAATAAAAAATGTGAGCAAGGAAAATTCTCCCCACGTTATTAAACCGATGACTGACATGACCATACCTGCGGGTAGATCCAAGTCGCATCCGACGGCACGCATCAATTTTGTGTTGTTAGCGGTACGTACATGCAATTTTAGATAAATATGAAAGTATACGTAATAACGTTTACAAACTTACCAGGGCATCAGGTAATCATAGAAAAAGTACTGAAAAACAAAAAAAAACAACACGTGTGTGAGAACTCGCACTATGATGCACACTTATAAATTTGTTTTGAGGGATAATGAACCTGTACTATTTTAACACATTGGATTCTCCTGAATATCCTGCCAAGGACAGTCGTTAATTACACTTACTTAAAATTACGAATTGATAATTACGCTATACTATGCAGTAATAGCCGACACGCACATGGAAACACCAATTTTATAATCATTTTACGCGCGTAAATCATCCTTAGCAAAACAATCTACAGGTCTGTTGTCAATAGGGTGCCAGTAGAAATGCTCAATTTTAATCAATAATAAAATAACATGTTATCGAATGAATGAAAGAATGATGCCGAGCCGCGTGCAGGTAAGAACAGACTGAAGCGGTCGAACGTTCGTAGCATGAGAGGCAGCATTGCGCACGTTTATATGATATAAAAACTTGTTTATACACAAACCCCGATATGCGTGTAGGTAGAATTGAAATAGCATTACTTCTGAAATGCACTAAAATAAATAAAAATAATATAATAATTCATTACATCAGTTGTTAATTTCAGCATTCGGTTCAAGGCGCGTTATACTAATGAAAACTACGGGTACTATTGCGTATAGCGCGTATACACACAACTAATACTAACTTGCGTTACGGAATTTTCGCAATAAATTCCAATACAGGAAAGATTAAGCAATTAAATTCTTGCTTAAAGGAGAATTAATCCGAACTTAGTTAAAGACCGCGTTCGCGTGTTATAATATTAACAAAGTACAATTCCTAGCGCTATGAGTACTATTGCGTATATACGCATACACACAACTATCACTATAACTCGCGTTACGAAATTTTCTTCTCACAAATTCCAATACAGAGAAATAAAAGATTTAAATTCCGTACCTGGGCAAATTACTCCGAACTAAATTTAAGCATCGGCATTCAAGAGTTATAAAAAAAAAACTATAATTCCAAGCGCAACCCGTACAAGGGTAAAGGTAGAAGTAACTCGTGTTCAGGGCAACGTATGCATTTTTCGACCTTTTACTCTTTTGAAATTAAATAATTTTAAAATCCCTATCTGATAGAGAATTATCCTATTCTTCCGTATCTACAATCTGCTGGTTGCTATCTTCTTTTAGTTTAGAAGATATTCGCTATTGAAAATCGTCAAAAAGGTATCAAGCACCCCCTTTGCCCATTTTTTTCTTAGGACCTGAAATTTTGCGTCTTTTAATTTCGATTTTTCAACGGCCTATCTTGTAGAAAATGTTTCTGTAGATTAAGAGATTGCGATTTGACTTTTCATTCTTTTTTGCTTACGAGATATTTCATTAAATAGAATAAAATAAGCAAAAATTGCAAAATGTCACTTTTAGCACTTTTAGTCGCATTTTTGACCTTTTTACTGTAGAAAATATAATTATTTTATATTTTTATCTGATAAAATATAATTTTCTAATCTTTTCATATTCAACGATCCGTTGGTAGCTATCTTTTAGTTTAAAAGAGAATTTTAAAAAATCGTCGAAAAGTATCAAGCACCCCTTGGCAATTTTTCTTAAGTGTGAAAATTTTACCCTCTGTGATTTCCTTTTAACTGTCCTATCTGATAGAGATTGGTCCGTAGATTAAGACGGCTGCGAACAGATCTAATTTATCTCTTTTTAGTTTACGAGATATTTCGCGATTGAATAAAATAGCAAAAATTCGCAAAATGTCCTTTTTAGCACTTTTAGTCGCATTTTTCGACCTTTACTATAGGAAATATAATTATTTTATATTTTATCTGATAGAGAATTTTCCAATCTATCAGAATCAATACCTGCTGTAGTTATCGCTTTTAGTTTAGAGATATGAATTTTCAAAAATCGTCGAAAAGTATCAAGTACCCCCCTGGGCAATTTTTCTTAAGAATGAAAATTTATCTCTCAGATTGCTTTAACTATTCTATCTTATAAAAATAATTCGTAGATTAAAAACGCTGCGATCAGATCTTAATTCTTTTAGTTTACGAGATATTCGCGATTAAAGCGATAATCGCCAAAAATTGCACGTCACTTTTTAGCACTTTTAGTCGCGTTTTTTCGACCTTTTTACTCTAGGAAATATAATTATTTTTATATTTTCTTGGTCTGATAGAGAATTTTCCATCTATCAGAATTCAATACCTGTTGGTAGCTATCGCTTTTTAGTTTAGAAGATATGAACCCCCTCAAATTTCCGTTTTAATTACTTATCTTATAGATTGGTCCGTAGATTAAAAACGCTGCGATCAGATCTATTTATCTCTTTAGTTTACGAGATATTCAAGATTGAATAAAATGCGCAAAAATTGCAAAATGTCACTTTTAGCACTTTTAGTCGCATTTTTCGACCTTTTACTATAGGAAATATAATTATTTTATATTTTTATCTGATAGAGAATTCTCCAAATCTATCAGAATCAATAATTCGTTGGTAGTTATCACAAGTTTAGGAGATATGAATTTTCAAAATCGTCGAAAA